CGTTAGAGAAATAGCTGGTCTGAGGGCAATGGAGTTAAATTAAAAGGTGGTCAAAGACTAATGGGCTAAAAGTAATAGGTGATCAAAGACAAGCTAGATTAAAGAGTTAAATAAAGTAACAAATGTCTGGCAGTAAAATGATCCATGGAAGCTAAATTTATTTTATGACATGAGAGCAATCAGACTAACATTTGAAGTGTCACTTGGTACAGAGAGAGAGAGAGAGTGAGACAGAGAGAGAGAGTGAGACAGAGAGAGAGACAGAGACAGACAGACAGAGGAGAGAGAGAGAGAGAGAGAGAGGCGATCAGTAAATAATATAAAGTGGTTTCGTATCATCATTCCATGTTCCATGCCAAGCAGTGCAAGCGATCATGTTCTTTCATCAACATCTGTTTTGTGTCCTCTGGACGATCCACCACTGATCACTTTAAGTGTCACTGTCAAACCCTTCAGTAATTGTCCCTGTGTCTATGAATATATCTTATACCCTCCATCTACTCAACCATCCATGTTAAAACATTTAATATGTCTCTCTCTGACAACTGATATATCTAACATCCTCCATCTACTCAAGTGTTCATGTCAAACCACCCAATATATCTCTCTCTGACAAATGATATATCTAACACCCTCCATCTACTCAACCATCCATATCAAACCACCCAATATGTCTCTCTCTGACAAATGATATATCTAACACCCTCCATCTACTCAACCATCCATATCAAACCACCCAATATGTCTCTCTCTGACAAATGATATATCTAACACCCTCCATCTACTCAACCATCCATATCAAATGTACTAGAACGGAGAAGCCCTTAGTACCAAGAAAAAATAAAGAAAAAGAGTTCGTTAGGCGGGGACTAGAAACAAAAATGTGTTCTAGTCCAGACACAAGATCTTTTGTGTAAAATCAAATCAGCCAGGCAACAAATAAATAAACTACGCACACTAACCACAAGCCCTAATCTGAACCAAAACAACTTGAACTATAATTACCATATTTAACATCTGTTTATTTCACTGAACATAAGCTAAGTTCTTCACAAATAAAAATGCATTAAAATTCACAACGTGTTCGAAAATACCCTACAACAGATGGATCCTATCTCTGCCTACACATCTCAACATGCGTTGCGCTAAACCATTGAAAGGAACGGAAAAATCAGAACTACATGTTACTCGTCCGAACACCAGAGGCCTAAGAGAGCGAAACTGACCACTCCCGTCTGTTTTATAACTTCCTGGCCCCAAGTTTGCCAGGTTTTAAGCTCGCTTAAATAAGCCTAATTAAATTTATATAACAGTCGTTCAGCGCCCATTACACAAACCACCCAATATGCTTCTCTCTGACAACCGATGTATCTTATATGTCATTAGAAAATGTGAAGGTTTAACAACTGATGACGTCTATATATTGGACTACCTATACTTCTGTAGTCATTTCAGCTATATAACTGACTGGAAAATATGGCAGACAAACACCAGGATGTACTTACTGTAGCCGACCATTGATCATAATCCCAACCCGGTCACACAGAGCGTCTGCTTCTTCCATGTAATGGGTGGTCAAGATGGCTCCTCTGTCTGTGCCTCTAAAACTAGAGCTGATAGTGTCCCTGAAATATATAACATGTTCTTTCTCATGGTTTCAGTTAGCTCAAGTAACACATTGGAGAATTTGTTATAATGAAGAATGCCAATTTCACAAATGCAATCTTCAAAATGGAAAATGCTATCTTCACAATGCTCTTAAATAGTTAGTTTATTCAGTGACAAGTTACACAAATTTTACTTAGTTTATTATTCAGAAACTGAAATATTTTGGTCATATCGAGCGCCATGGAGAATTCGAAAAAAAAAAAAAAAAAAATAGCAGAATGCATGGTACCAGGAAGGAGGGGCAGAGGCTGACCAACATGAACATAGGATATAAGTGACTCCTTGAATACGAAAGTACACGAGGCGGGAGAGCTGGCTAGAGACCGAGTTTCTTTCAGACAAGCTGTGATAACAGTGAAGTCTGCAAAGGACCCGCTACATGATGATTATACAGATAACATATGAACCTAGGCATATGGATTATACAGTGACTGTTGGAAAATGACAGCAGGAATTACACAAGAACTAGAGACCTTTTAAAAAAAAATTTCAAGGAGAATTCTTGGGATATTTTGGGCAAACAAGATCACAGATGAAGAACTGAAGAGGAAAGCAAAATGTCCATCACTGGCACACATTATCAAAGGAAGAAGATAGAGATGGTTTGGACAAATGTGATGAATGACACTTTGGCAGGGACAGCTTTCCAATGGATGGCAGATGGAAAAACTAAACATGGACAATTTGAGGAAACCCGGAGAAGGACGGCAGAAAGGAAAACTAAGGAATGCAAAATAACATGGGATATCACAGGCAGAAAAGCAGCAGACAGGCAGCAAAGAAGATCACTCGTGAATGCCTTGAGTGTCAACAGTGACATAAAGTGGATACAGATAGATATGGACAACATCAGAGTGAAGATGCATCACAGAAATAAAGAACACATTATGATAATTAAAACCAGTATTTTACAAAATGATATGATTTGATTTATTTTGGTTTGATTCAAGAACCGACATCACAGCACTCGGGGCATTCCCATTAGTGCTTCATCCCCATCTTCAGCAGCCAGCGAAGAGTTCCGATACTAATGGTGCCAGTAGCATTCTGATTAAACATCCGTCTTGCCTTTCCTCTGAGCCTCAAGCATCTGCTAGAACCTCTCGAAACCCCCCCCCCCCCCCCCCCCCCTTCCCCCCCATCAATCTCACCAGACTGGTGATCCATCTGCTCCTCCGAACTGTACACGCTCTCCCACAAGGCACTAACCACGTCTGCCTTATCATGTATCAGTATTCCATCAAGCTCTCAGAGCCAGCCTGTCTGCCTGTTCATTTCCCAAATAACCAGCGTTCCCTGGTGAAAAAATCCATACAATACTCTTCACCCGTGTCCTCTGCAGTGAGGCATGCCACTCTGCAAGAAGCATGCCTGTCCTGATCTTCCTCAGCATGCTTTCTGAGTCAGTTACAATCACGATGTGTGTGTGTCATGTTCTCTAGCCAGCGGAAAGCTGCAGTGACCACCTCCACCTCCACTCTTAAGCTGGATGTTGTGGTATCATATGCTAGGCTCTCCTGCACCAAACGTCAACCATTAACTTTTGCGAAGAAACCCCAAGCACTTCTTTTCCTCCTGACACTGAACCATCTGTGTAAATGATCAAATCTTCTGAGTGAGCATTATCTTTAATTATTGCTGAATTTGCACCTCTGTGGCACCTGCTGGCCAGTCTCTGCATTCCCGGCTCAGTGTGATTATGACTTCACACAAGTCTGACTGTTCAGATGGCACTTTGACCCACTCCTCTCCTCTCCTAATGTTCTCAAGGATGTAAACCTGTCTGATTGTGTCTTCTGCCTGAGTCATCCATGACTTCCCTCTTATCAGCCACTGACCCTTAACTGCACCCAGAGCTTTGTGCAAAGGTTGGTCTGTGTCTGTAGCTACCCTGAGATATGACTTTGTCTGCAGCACCTTGTGCCTACCTGCAACAGTCTGCAAACCAAGGATGTATCGCATACACACCACTGGGGTGTCTCTGGTGCAACCCAGAATAACCTGCATAGCTGCGTTCTAAATGTGCTCTAGTTTGTCCATCTGACTCTTTGAGACGGTAAGCAGTCCCAGGCCATAATCAATCACTGACAGGATAAGCGCTGATATAGTGTGAAAATTACATTATAACTGTCAATTGACTGTGTCTAGTTTCTCCCATCTAGATCATGGATCACTTTGAAGTTTTCATCTGTTTCTTGCAGGATTGGGTTTCCTTTCCCTGTCTGTTTAACCTGAAAAAATCATAATGACAACTTAACAGAGAAAACAGGACAACTTATCACAGAAAACATAAACTTCCTATAAAAAACCAGAGAAAACCCCATAAAATATGACCAGAGAAAATGTCATGACACCTTACCAGAAAAACCATCATGACAACTTACCAAAGAAAACGTTTTGACTGTGGGTCCATGCTAGTTGAAGGCTCATCCAAGAGAACAAAATGTGGGGAGCCCAACATGCTCAGTATATAGCTCAGCTGTAGGGAAACCATATATATTCATGTTTGTCAATGTTTAACATAAACATAAAATATTACACTTGGTCTAAACTTAACAAAACAGTTCAGCTACTGAATATAACAATAAGTACAACTAATGTTGGGAGTCGCCATGGCGGAGCGGATCGGAAGGTCGTGAGTTCGCTCCCTGGCAGAGCCGGACTTTTTTCTAAAAATGACCTTGGCTTTCAGGTCGACCCAGCCTTGAGTGGGTACCGGGTTCAATCCTGGGAAATTAAGGCGGCTGGTGTGATGCTGACCACATCAACAATCTTGTGCAGATTGGTCTTTAAAAATATAGGTCTAGCCCTATATGCCCTATACGCCTAAAGGCTGGGAAAAGGGTCTGTTACTGCTTTACTTTACTTACTAATGTTAACATAATTTTCTGCTATTTTAGAAGCTAGCATAATAGGGCTACAATTACAACAGACAAAGCTTGGCATAGTTTCGACCTTATCAGCCACTGAGTAGTGGTGAAAAAAAAATAGAAAACAACAACATATACTTAATATGCCTCATATCAAGAAAAGAGTGCCCATGTTTTTACTTACTGAATGGGCTTGTTATTATAGAAATATGTAGCAAGGTCTTAATTGATAAAATATGTGCCTTTGATTCTAGTTAATACATTAGTTAAGTCAGTCAAACTACGGTCTTGGTTTAGCAGATATACAGATTATATTCGTGAGAAAACAAAAGCTTGTGATCGCATCAGATTATGCAAAAATGAAGGCCGATGTAAGGTTCACTTTAGGGTAGAAGTGAAACCACTATCCCTAATTAGATGAAGAATCCATTAAGTGTTCATAAAGACAAGAAAGGCACTCACTTTCCGCTTGGTCCCTCCAGACAACAGTATTGTAGGTTTCTTGCGATGTTCTTCAAGTTTCAGCTTTTCCACAACACTGTTGAACAGAATAATTTGTTGATCATCACTGTTAATCATGCTTTATTTTCTCATGAAGCATAGGTCCTCAACCATCCCCCAACAAACAGTCCTTCAGGTCTTTGACTAACCAGTAAAGAATTGTCTATCCTATATTCTTCTTCTGTCTCTAATTCTCTTTCCCATGTGCTTATACTTACCCCCCCCCCCCCCCTAAATTTCTTTAACTCTGAGAATTATAGAAGACTTCTTAGTCATGGTATTAACCCATTCAATCCCAAGAGAAATGATGTGGGATATACTTTTTCACCTAGTGTGTTCACTTACTGTTAATTCAGTATTGATGAATGCATAAATAAAGAATTTACATCACTGGATTCAGGACATTCCCACACATCCTCCGACCGCTTTTTTATTGGTAACAAAGAGTGGACATGCTAATAGTACTATATGTAACATGACTAAAAGTTCACTTATGTTCCCCCTCAGTGTTAAATATTTTCCAATAGTTCTGCTCACCTCGCGCTTAATCAGTCTTTCAATATATGGATTATATATCTGTTCTACTGAATGCCCATCTGATTAAAGGCAGCCTTCACCACATCTGCTTTATCATAAAGTAGCTCACCGCCTAGAGGAGCGTCATCAGCTAATCTATCAGCTTGCTCATTGTCCTTGGGGAAAACAAATCCATGATAAGCTCCTGATCTCAGTCTGACCTCATGTCCCCAACAATCTCCCAGCAAACAGCCCTCCCTATCTTTGACTAACCAGTGAAGAAACCTCTATCCTGTATTCTTCTTCTGTCTCTAGCTCTCTTTCCCATGTGCTTATACTTGTTTCCCCTAAATTTCTTCAACTCTGAGAATTCCAGAAGACCATATCAGCCAGCAAGCCGGTCATTTGTCCTGAAGCCATCAGAAAGCTGCCGTTACTGCCTCTACCTCCATTCTCATACTGGATGTAGTGACGTATGTGCGGCTTTTTAGTGTCCATGCATCCTTGCAATAAATTCCAACTCATTCTTCTTACCTCTCACCATAGACCAATCTGTTTATATATAATGATGAAAGGCTGTTTTGCTGGGCAACACTGTGAAACATTCCTCACCATGCGCTATTTTTTCAATACTTAATCACTAAAATAATCAGTTGCTGGTAGTATGTATAGAATATTTTCTGTTCTATGTCTTGTGATGCTATCACTTTCAAAGCATTAGTTTTTTTCCATTTCTTCAAAACTACCTCTTTCACGTGGTATTGGAAAGACAGGCTCCTTGTCAACAGTGATTCCTAGATATTTTAGTAATTATTTCTCTTTATGGTACTGCTATTTATTGTAATGTTTGGCAACACATTTCTAACAATCCAATTTTTTAAAGAACACCATAATACTGCTACCTTATCTGGTCTGATGACCAAACCTGTTTCCTCACCCACTCACCTACATTATCTATCATAGTCAGCAGTTCTCTATATATTTATATTCTTCTTCTCCCCTGTCTGTAGACAAAGACATCATCAGCAACAGTCAAGATTCTCCCAATACCCACTGCCTCTACTGCCACTATACTGCTTATGTACACTGAAAAGCATGTTCAGGTAACTGGAATATCATTCTGAATTAAATGTGAGCAGATATCTTCACAGCGCTAGTTTTGTATCAAATGGGCTGATAGAGGGGCTGATTCTCACTGCAGAGTGACTGATCACCAGCAGAGAGCACTGCACAAAGCACAAAACTCCACAGTCCTGGCGACAGAGCAAAATAGTTTAACTATTCTGTCCTTCAAACTGACTTTCTGAAGATGAAAATCACAAAGAACATCATGGACTAAAGCCACTACACAAACACCCAATGACTGTGAACATGAGAGACAACAGATTAAGATGTTTGATCACACTCACTGAATGTGTTTAGACAGAGAGACAAATTTAACTTTTTAAAGAAGACAAAGTAAAATATAAAAATGGTGCCAAAAAAAAAAAAAAAAAAAAAAAAAAATTACAGTGTGGGATAGAATATATAACTTGATTAACTATTTACATACACAAACAGCAAAAACTGATGAGTGGTTTAACTTCAAATGGAGGGTAACTAAGATGAGTATCTGAACCTAGTAGACAATGCATCTCTGTAAACCTCACTGGAAACTCCAAATGTAGTGATCTTCTGATCTAGACAAGTCACCAAACCAATGTCCAGCAGTCCCAGACAAATACAGTCCGCTTGTGCCTTTTAGGTTGAAGGTGGCGGCAGCACCTACCTAGTACTTTCGATGGATTCCACCAATACAGTTGCCAAGTCTAGACAACATAACTCTACTAGGATCATTTTCACAATAACAACAATAGCTATAATTAAGCCAGACTTTGATTTCAAGTTATTGCTGACATTTATCTCAAGACAGAATGTGAACAAACTAGAACCACCCCCCCCCCCCCCCCCCCCCCCCCACACACCCCCCCCCCCCTCCAGGTGGCTGCTTTATATCTTTTGGCCAGTCACTCAAGTCCACAGATTCATGCTTTTGCTACAGAGCTCATATTTTTTATTTAGATTTTGAGAACTCTTATTACAGAATATAAACACTATTTATATAAGTGGGATCTCAAGCAGCAATCTGAATCGTAGTGGTTAAAGTTACAAGAAACTCAACAGGTGAAGTAATGATTAGGAAAGAGTGGATAAAGTGGCTGGCCACAGCAGAAAAATTATAGGGAAAATAAATCAAGTGAAACAATTAAAGAATCAATGGTGAATTCAAGGTGCATAAAGAGTCATAAATGGATACTGGAATATTGACTGACTGACTTTCTACCCCACCAGGACATCACACAAGCGATAAACACCCGATGACACAATGTGCCACGATGTGGGTGAGGATCACCGTGGAGAGGTCCCAGAAACCGCGTTCAGCCTTTAGGCCATATTTATGGTCAGGCTATATTGCGGCCCCTGGAAAGAGCCAGAGTAGGGCTTCAAATAATGAAAAAATCCATCCTAAAAAGGACGGGAGATAACCACTGGAATATTTAAAGAGTCACAATGAAAAGAAGCAAAACAATGAAGTTAGTCACTGAAAACAAATCCAAAATAATACAAGGAGCTATATTCGACATAGACTTACTAATCAACAACTTTATTAAGTTCGCTAGGATGAATTCCCTTGATATCTGCGAAGCACTCCACATGTTCCTCCAAGGTGATCAACTCCCACAGTGGATCATCTTGGGGACAGTATCCGAGTGAATCCAGCACTGCTGACATGTCGTAGCAGATATTGTTCCCATCAATGACTACCTGCAAATATGCAGCATTAATACATATTTCTCTTGCAGCTAAAAACATCTAACTGCTCATAGAAAGCTAACTAACTAAACAATCTGCAAACAGAAACTAACTAACTAAACAATCTGCAAACAGAAACTAACTAACTAAACAATCTGCAAACAGAAACTAACTAACTAAACAATCTGCAAACAGAAACTAACTAAACAATCTACAAACAGAAACTAACTAACTAAACAATCTGCAAACAGAAACTAACTAATTAAACAATCTGCAAACAGAAACTAACTAACTAAACAATCTGCAAACAGAAGCTAACTAACTAAACAATCTGCAAACAGAAACTAACTAACTAAACAATCTGCAAACAGAAACTAACTAATTAAACAATCTGCAAACAGAAACTAACTAACTAAACAATCTGCAAACAGAAGCTAACTAACTAAACAATCTGCAAAAAGAAACTAACTAACTAAACAATCTGCAAACAGAAGCTAACTAACTAAACAATCTGCAAACATAAACTAACTAACTAAACAATCTGCAAACAGAAACTAACTAACTAAACAATCTGCAAACAGAAACTAACTAAACAATCTGCAAACAGAAACTAACTAACTAAACAATCTGCAAACAGAAACTAACTAACTAAACAATCTGCAAACAGAAACTAACTAACTAAACAATCTGCAAACAGAAAAACTAACTAAACAACTGCAAACAACTAAAAACAATCTGCAAACAGAAACTAACTAAACAATCTGCAAACAGAAACTAACTAACTAAACAATCTGCAAACAGAAAAACTAATCTGCAAACTAAACAATCTGCAAACAGAAACTAACTAACTAAACAATCTGCAAACAGAAACTAACTAAACAATCTGCAAACAGAAAGAAACTAACTAAACAATCTGCAAACAGAAACTCTGCAATCTGCAAACAGAAACTAACTAAACAATCTGCAAACAGAAAACTAACTAAACAATCTGCAAACAGAAACTAACTAAACAATCTGCAAACAGAAACTAACTAAACAATCTGCAAACAGAAACTAACTAAACAATCTGCAAACAGAAACTAACTAAACAATCTGCAAACAGAAACTAACTAAACAATCTGCAAACAGAAACTAACTAACTAAACAATCTGCAAACAGAAACTAACTAAACAATCTGCAAACAGAAACTAACTAAACAATCTGCAAACAGAAACTAACTAAACAATCTGCAAACAGAAAACTAACTAAACAATCTGCAAACAGAAACTAAACCTAAACAATCTGCAAACATTAAACTAACTAAACAATCTGCAAACAGAAACTAACTAAACAATCTGCAAACAGAAACTAACTAAACAATCTGCAAACAGAAACTAACTAAACAATCTGCAAACAGAAACTAACTAAACAATCTGCAAACAGAAACTAACTAAACAATCTGCAAACAGAAACTAACTAAACAAATCTGCAAACAGAAACTAACTAAACAATCTGCAAACAGAAACTAACTAAACAATCTGCAAACAGAAACTAACTAAACAATCTGCAAACAGAAACTAACTAACTAAACAATCTGCAAACAGAAACTAACTAAACAATCTGCAAACAGAAACTAACTAACTAAACAATCTGCAAACAGAAACTAACTAAACAATCTGCAAACAGAAACTAACTAAACAATCTGCAAACAGAAACTAACTAAACAATCTGCAAACAGAAACTAACTAAACAATCTGCAAACAGAAACTAACTAAACAATCTGCAAACAGAAACTAACTAATTAAACAATCTGCAAACAGAAACTAACTAAACAATCTGCAAACAGAAACTAACTAAACAATCTGCAAACAGAAACTAACTAAACAATCTGCAAACAGAAACTAACTAAACAATCTGCAAACAGAAAAACTAATTAAACAATCTGCAAACAGAAACTAACTAAACAATCTGCAAACAGAAAAACTAACTAAACAATCTGCAAACAGAAACTAACTAAACAATCTGCAAACAGAAACTAACTAAACAATCTGCAAACAGAAAACTAAACAATCTGCAAACAATCTAACTAAACAGCAAACAGAAACTAAAAACAATCTGCAAACAGAAACTAACTAACTAAACAATCTGCAAACAGAAGCTTATTAACTAAACAATCTGCAAACAGAAACTTATTAACTAAACAATCTGCAAACAGAAGCTTATTAACTAAACAATCTGCAAACAGAAGCTAACTAACTAAACAATCTGCAAACAGAAGCTAATTAACTAAACAATCTGAAAACAGAAACTAACTAAACAATCTGCAATCAGAAACTAACTAACTAAACAATCTGCAAACAGTGAGTGAAATACACCTGTTTGCAAGCATGAATGACTCATCGCCATCCTTATAGGCCCTCCCAATGAGCATAAATGGTTTCACCATCTCCCACAAAAGGCAGATTCACAGATCAGGGCTGTGCTCTTGTCTAGCCCTATCCATGAGGCCAACCCATCCATACATTTATCTCTTAGCCTTTTCCTTCCTATTTTTTCCCACCATTCTTGCTAGTTGTTTCCAAGTTCTGGAGTCCATTAATTCTCATATCATTTCCAAAAACATTGACTGTTTATGTCTCACTTCTCAGTCAGTTTACATTTTCCATTTGTCTTGAGGAGGAATGCTTTGTTTTGTTTTTAGTCATACTATGCTATTGTTTGCTTTCTTCTCAAAATCCACATGTCTACAGCCAATTAGTGTTTTTCACCTTATCTGCCAACTGTCTATGGCTGGAATGAATATAACAACATAGGTACTACATGACATTTCAACACTCTTTTCCTCACTGCAATTGACATCCTGTGTCTGAAAATCATATCAGGCTCTTTCACTCATTCTACTAATCAATCCTTTCCCCATTTTCCCCGTTGTGCAGCAGTCTTACTAGTTTCCAATTTTAGCCTCAGTGTCTCCTCCTATTATAGCATTTGAACTTCTGTCAAATTGTAAACAGCGAGTGAAATACAACTGTCTGCAAGCATGAACTACAGCTACCTGCAAACAGTGAGTGAGATATATATGTCTGCAAGCATAAACTATTGCTACCTGCATACATTGAGTGAGATATATATGTCTGCAAGCATAAACTACAGCTACCTGCATACATTGAGTGAGATATATATGTCTGCAAGCATAAACTATTGCTACCTGCATACATTGAGTGAGATATATATGTCTGCAAGCATAAACTATTGCTACCTGCATACATTGAGTGAGATATATATGTCTGCAAGCATAAACTATTGCTACCTGCATACAGTGAGTGAGATATATACGTCTGCAAGCATAAACTACTGTTCCTGCAAACAGTGAGTGAGATATATACGTCTGCAGGCATAAACTACTGTTCCTGCAAACAGTGAGTGAGATATATATGTCTGCAGGCATAAACTACTATTACCTGTAAACAGTGAGTGAGATATATATGTCTGCAGGCATAAACTACAGCTACCTGCAAACAGTGAGTGAGATATATACGTCTGCAGGCATAAACTACAGCTACCTGCAAACAGTGAGTGAGATACAACAGTCTGCAGGCATAAACTACTATTACCTGTAAACAGTGAGTGAGATATATACGTCTGCAGGCATAAACTACTGTTCCTGCACAAACAGTGAGTGAGATATATACGTCTGCAGGCATAAACTACTGTTCCTGCACAAACAGTGAGTGAGATATATACGTCTGCAGGCATAAACTACTGTTCCTGCACAAACAGTGAGTGAGATATATACATCTGCAGGCATAAACTACTGTTCCTGCACAAACAGTGAGTGAGATATATACGTCTGCAGGCATAAACTACTGTTCCTGCACAAACAGTGAGTGAAATATATACGTCTGCAGGCATAAACTACTGTTCCTGCGCAAACAGTGAGTGAGATACAACAGTCTGCAAGCATAAACTACTGTTCCTGCAAACGGTGAGTGAGATACAACTGTCTGCACCTGCAAACAGTGAGTGAGATACAACAGTCTGCAAGCATAAACTACTGTTCCTGCAAACGGTGAGTGAGATACAACTGTCTGCACCTGCAAACAGTGAGTGAGATATAACTGTCTGCAAGCATAAACTATTGCTCCTGCAAACAGTGAGTAAGTTATAACTGTCTGCAAGCATAAACTACTGTTCCTGCAAACAGTGCGTGAAATACAACTGTCTGCAAGCATAAACTACTGTTACCTGCACACACTGAGTGAACTAAAACTGTCTGCAAGCATAAACTATTGCTACCTGCACACAGTGAGTGAAAACAACTGTCTGCTAGCACAAACTGCTGCTGCTTACCCCTACATATTGTAAGCATTCTGTTGTGTGCTAATTGTAAACTACTACTAGGGCAGAGGCCTGTACAGTCTACCATGTTTATTGAATTTCTACACAGAGATTCATCTGGCACAAGTCTGATGATGGTCTGTGTGCTCTACTGGCACATAGGACATAAAAAAGAAAAGAAAACCAAAAAGTGTCCCTCTCTTACCTTCCCACAGGTGGGTGATACTTGAGCAGTCATCATGTTTAAGACAGTACTCTTGCCAGCTCCATTAGGCCCCAAAAGTCCTAACACCTCTCCCTGATCAACGCCTAGGCTCAAGTTCCGTACTGCAATCGTGGTGCTCACTTTGCCTGGGTTCCTCATTTTTTTTTTCTTCATGCGTTTCAAAAACACCTTGCGCAGCTGTGACACATAAGCCACAGGTGCCTGGATTAAACAGTAAACAACAAAAAATAAACATCAGCTGAACATACTACTAAAAAGTCTTGTCCACATAATCAATGAGAGGATGGAAAGAAATCTCTAAGACAAGAACAAACACCAAACAGAATCAGGGAGGGCACAATACTGAAGGAAAGAAGAAAGAGTAGACCAAAGACAACATATATAAAACAGATCTAGCAATGTATTAATTAAAAAAAAAGTAAAGATCCCTTTTCACGCCTTTCGGCGCATCGGGCAAATGAGCAGAGCATCCCATATTTTTACAGACCATCAGCACTCGGTGGGTAATGTGGTCAGCATTACGCCGGCTGTCTTTAATTTTCCAGGACAGCCCATCCTGGTACCCATTTTAGGCTGGGTCGACCACGACAAAAATCCACGCAGCCTAAGAAATACCAAATACAAAATATATACTGACTCTGCCTGTTTAAATCTATTCAATCTACAAGTGATGAACCATGCACTTACGTAACCAGAGGGTCTGGCCGGCTCACTACACTCAGAGGAAAGGCAAGACAGACATATAACCAGATTGTGACCAATACCATCAGTATTGGAACTCTGCGCTGGCTGCTGAAGATGAGGACGGAATGCCCTGAGTGCTGTGATGTGAATTCTTGACTCAACTTAACTCAACTCTTAAGCAGCGTAATTGAAGTCATAAGCAAAATATAGTGCCCTAGTTAGCAGTTAAACGACTATTGAGCCCTTATAAAAATAATGTATATACCACACTATTTCAGCTCCCTAGCCTGTGTGTTCCTGAGGTTCTTCTATAAAGCAACAAAAAGTAAAGTTTCACCCTGCCAAGCATGTCACAAGAGGTGACCCAACGGGAGGGTTAGTCTTGGGGTCAATTACCTCATCCTGTAACAAGCTCCAGCCACAAAAGGCAATCAGGGGCGAGTCTAAACAGAGCATTCTGTTTGAGGGCTTATGCTTCACAAGTAAGCAGAATGTTGCAGCTTCCAAAACGTATGCAATAGATCAACACATGTTAATTCTATGAAATGTGAACATCTGTACCTCGCTGCCCCCTTCCTGTAGTTGTTCAACTCTGTGTCTCTCAGCTGTGATGTCTTCATCCTCACCATCAATGACATCTGGGTTGGCAATCCGCGACGTGTCCGTCCAATCAAAAAAACAAGGACACGCTTTCATGTGACCACCAGCCTTCTTCACATCCAGGATCCGCAGCAGCCAGTACATCCAAAACATGTGAATTATTGGCTATCCGGAAATAATACAACAATATTATAGTGAAACAATAAAAAAAACTATAATTGTTTTCTAAAACAAATGAATAAGACTGCCGAAAATAGTCATAATACTGAAAATGTCTCATTTCATATATAAACACATAAGTATTCGCAAACCAAAAACAAATAATGCACATCTCAAATTCTGTGTGGCGTTGGTAGTTATGTGTTTCCACAAACTTCAAAACTTCTAATCAACTCTGACACAGATGATCTTTCATGCCATGATGTTGGGCAGTCCAGCATCTTCTCTCTTGGTCTCCCTCTGCCTTTTTCTCCTTAGAACTTTCCCATCCACCGTTACGATGTGCTTGATGTCCCCCTTCAAATGTCCTCACCTCCCCCTCCAGGAGACATGCCTTCCAGGTTGGAGACCACTGCACTAGACGGTTAGCTTTAACAAGCTTTCGGTCCCAATCAACAAGCCATGTGTAAATAGGTTATTGTCCAAGCATACCAAGCAAAGAATGATGTGATGTGGTGTTTAGCTTAAGAATACTATAGAAACCTGGTCAGTTATTTCAGCACCAACTCAACATCTGTGTTGGGGAATTTGTGACAGTTATGCTCTCACATTTTGTTTATGTTCACTGTGAATATCATCACCTTGAGAATATCCAGATCAATCTTCTGCTACTTAAAGAGTTAAACAAACCATCTACATTTCTGAAAAGTGAACTCATCTTAACCACATAAGTATAGAAATAATTTTACACTGAGAGTTAAAAAAAAAAAAAAACATGGTGCAAAGGTAACTTGAGGGATTCACCATCATTCCGACCACCTTTAGTTCGCATGAAGTTTCCTGGTATCAAATTTAAGCTGGGTCGACATGGAATTTTACACTGTGTTGTCAAGGATTTACCTGCCTGAAAAATCAATTTCCTAAGGACAAGTAAAATATGCTGCATTATTTAACAAGTATAAGACAAGATTATGTACACTGCTGATCTGTTCACAGTTCTGGAATTTTTTTTAATGGTGAGTTTTTATTTTAGTAAGAAATATTTAGAGAAAAAAAAAAAACAAGTAAAGCAAAGTATTATGGGTTGAAGAAGTGAGGATGTCCAATAGAAAATCTGGCGCATGTCGCAATAAAAGACCCTTCAATGAGAGTGACCTTGCTTCCCAATGATGCCTCGATCTGGTGTAGCGCCTCTACTATGTTGCAGGGGTTTCAGGTGTACTAAATCGTATTTTACTCCTTGTTGTCAGCAGCTGGCGATATCGCATCTTCCAAGCTGTCAGCTCTTTTAACAGTCCCAAAACATGTACAACTGGGCCTAAACCCAACCTCTGTTCTCCATAGCCCCAGCCTATGTCTTACAACTTCATGCAGCCTCTGTTATACGCTGCCTACAGTCGTGCGACCTTGGATGCCCTCCTGCGACATAGTAGAGACCCTACACCAGATCGAGGCATCAATGGGAAGGGAGGTCACTCTTATCGTTGGGCCTCTTAACATGACTAGAACTGAAAATCGTATAATGAACATTGCTGAGAGAGGCCAAATATTACAAAAGGATAAGGCCACAGATTGCAGAAGATAAAACATAAAACATGAACTGACTGTGTTGCCTTTGTAGCAAAACATGATAATGATAATGCTATGACAATAGTCAAGTAACCGTTTCTATGCCCTGTGGTGTACTGGGTATATGTTAATAGCATCATTCTAATCAGTACTCAATGGGTGATATGACTAGTAATACTCCAGCTGCCCTTTCTTCCTAGGCCATTTCCAAGTAATCAATGAAGGGTGGTTCAGTCACTGGAAATGCAAACTAAAAGACCAGGAGGCAAGCAAGCAAATAAACCATCATGTGGTTAATAATGACTTCCATTTACTTCTATTCCAGGTTAACCAACAAAACCTGTGGTTAATGTTTACTTTTATTTGAGGTTAACCAACAAAGCCTGTGGTTAATGTTTACTTCTATTTCAGGTTAACCAACAAAACCTGTGGTTAATGTTTACTTCCATTTCAGGCTAACCAACAAAACCTGTGGTTAATGTTTACTTTTATTTCAGGTTAACCAACAAAGCCTGTGGTTAATGTTTACTTCTATTTCAGGTTAACCAACAAAACCTGTGGTTAATGTTTACTTCCATTTCAGGTTAAGAAAACCTGTGGTTAATGTTTACTTCTATTTCAGGTTAACCAACAAAGCCTGTGGTCAATGTTTACTTCTATTCCAGGTTAACTAAGAAAACCTGTGGTTAATGTTTACTTCTATATCAGGTTAACCAACAAAGCCTGTGGTTAATGTTTACTTCTATTTCAGGTTAACCAACAAAACCTGTGGTTATGTTTACTTTCTATTTCAGGTAGCAAAGTCTGTGGTTAATGTTTACTTCTATTTCAGGTTAATCAACAAAAACCTATGATTAATGCTTACTTCTATTTCAGGTTTACCAACAAAGCCTGTGGTTAATGTTTTACATCTATTTTAGGCTAACCAACAAAACCTGTGATTAATGCTTACTTCTATTTCAGGTTAACCAACAAAACCCGTGATTAATGTTTACGTCTATTTCAGGTTAACCAACAAAGCCCGTGGTTAATGTTTACTTCTATTTCAGGTTAACCAACCAAACCTGTGGTTAATGTTTACTTCTATTCCAGGTTAACCAACAAAACCTGTGGTTAATGTTTACTTCTATTTCAGGTTAACCAACAAAGCCTGTGGTTAATGTTTACTTCTATTTCAGGTTAACCAACAAAACCTGTGGTTAATGTTTACTTCCATTTCAGGTTAAGAAAACCTGTGGTTAATGTTTACTTCTATTTCAGGTTAACCAACAAAGCCTGTGGTCAATGTTTACTTCTATTCCAGGTTAACTAAGAAAACCTGTGGTTAATGTTTACTTCTATATCAGGTTAACCAACAAAGCCTGTGGTTAATGTTTACTTCTATTTCAGGTTAACCAACAAAACCTGTGGTTAATGTTTACTTCTATTTCAGGTAGCAAAGTCTGTGGTTAATGTTTACTTCTATTTCAGGTTAACCAACAAAACCTATGATTAATGCTTACTTCTATTTCAGGTTTACCAACAAAGCCTGTGGTTAATGTTTACATCTATTTTAGGCTAACCAACAAAACCTGTGATTAATGCTTACTTCTATTTCAGGTTAACCAACAAAACCCGTGATTAATGTTTACGTCTATTTCAGGTTAACCAACAAAGCCCGTGGTTAATGTTTACTTCTATTTCAGGTTAACCAACCAAACCTGTGGTTAATGTTTACTTCTATTCCAGGTTAACCAACAAAACCTGTGGTTAATGTTTACTTCTATTTCAGGTTAACCAACAAAGCCTGTGGTCAATGTTTACTTCTATTCCAGGTTAACTAAGAAAACCTGTGGTTAATGTTTACTTCTATATCAGGTTAACCAACAAAGCCTGTGGTTAATGTTTACTTCTATTTCAGGTTAACCAACAAAACCTGTGGTTAATGTTTACTTCTATTTCAGGTAGCAAAGTCTGTGGTTAATGTTTACTTCTATTTCAGGTTAACCAACAAAACCTATGATTAATGCTTACTTCTATTTCAGGTTTACCAACAAAGCCTGTGGTTAATGTTTACATCTATTTTAGGCTAACCAACAAAACCTGTGATTAATGCTTACTTCTATTTCAGGTTAACCAACAAAACCCGTGATTAATGTTTACGTCTATTTCAGGTTAACCAACAAAGCCCGTGGTTAATGTTTACTTCTATTTCAGGTTAACCAACCAAACCTGTGGTTAATGTTTACTTCTATTCCAGGTTAACCAACAAAACCTGTGGTTAATGTTTACTTCTATTCCAGGTTAACCAACAAAGCCTGTGGTTAATGTTTACTTCTATTTCAGGTTAACCAACAAAGCCTGTGGTTAATGTTTACTTCTATTTCAGGTTAACCAACAAAGCCTGTGGTCAATGTTTACTTCTATTCCAGGTTAACCAACAAAACCTCTGTGTTGCTTGCTTCTGTAATAGGCTCCATTTGGGCACCTATGTAAAAACGCATTAAGACTAAAATCATACTAACCCCAGTCTAATTTGAAATATTGCAAAAAAGCAAGCAAATCCAATATTATGCTTCCATGTCCCTCTTGGGTCTATAAGAGCAAGAAAAGACTAGCAGCACCACAACCCGACATGCATGTCATAAGAGGTGACTAGGAAGACAGATGGTGGGACTGGCCACCTCAGTGCAGCAAAACCCAACCAATATCATATGAACAAGTCTACACAGAGCTTGGCAGGAGTTGGTTGAGCACCTATAAGCTAGAAGATGAAAGACAACGGCAGCAACAGAAGGTACCTAATACTGGACATTATGTGGGGAATCTAATAAATGAACTAGCCTCCAGTGCCCAATAATCTACTGAGTATTTATACAAGCCACATCGTCTACCTCTCTGAAAGAGTTTTAGTCTTATATCCCTCACAAATGACTAAAATGTTCTTTAAAAAAAATAACATACCATAATAATACAAATCATAACATGGTTTCCAAAATCAAAGTATTCACTTTTGTTGACTGTCCTGCTCTCATTGAATGCATTCAAGTAGACCTGTACATATTAAAAGAAGCAATGTTAATAGTTTGTGTCCATCATCTTTTCAACATGGGTTTCTGTCTTTTATTTTCAGCTGGCAAAGGTGTCAATACTTTGGCCACATGATGTTTGTCCAATCACTAATGCCTGTCTGTGCACACTAACTGTTGAAAATGTGGTAAATGCAGAACAGATAACAGGGCTAAGTGCTTCTCCATGACTTCCATTCAAAATATTGGACTTTGCAACAAAAATTCAAAATACTTAAAACTGCAAGTCCAAGCCCCCAGTAACAGACATCTGAAGCACTGAGGGTCTACTAAGCAATTCCCCTCTAAGTAACTGTTCACTGTTAACAATAATCCTGTTGTGGGCTTGCCTTCCAAGACAGTTGATCTCGATTCAATCTCCAGCAGAGACAGGATGACTGTTTTCCTCACCAATACGGCTCTGGGGTTAGTCTAGCCTCATAGAACTGGAACTAAACTTTTTTTCAGGAACTGTCTAAGAAAGGAAACTGATGAGAAAAGGTACTAGCCACCCAATAAATGTTGTGTGTCATGGACCTTATGTTGATTTATTACACCAAGAACTCTCACTGATCGGGTAAAACTGGATAATGATGATGACAATGGGGTGAATTACCAGATTAGACAGCTGCAATGGAGTCAATAAAAACCTGGATAGAGGATTGGGGTCTATCAGATTATTACCCACAACACATCACAACCTCATCTAGGCCAGTGTCCAAATTCTAGGTTATGGAAGCAGAAAGGAATTATCCTATCAAAATGGACTCTCAGTGCAAGGCTGGACTTGTCACAAGGTGCTCACATTGCCTCCATGATTCACACTGACCCATGCTTGTTCACCAGTCTTATCTTGTCTCTTACCCATTCTCCACGCATGGCAAACGTCACCATTGTTTATCACTCTTTGCAAGGCTGTCATCACACATTAATGTTGAATCAAATTCAACATAACAAAGGAATAATAATCTGTGGTAGTAATGAGTTGAATTAAAAGATCAGTTTACATAACTTGGGGTAAATAAGGTACCCTTTATTTGTACATACCAGTCAGCACTTAACTGTTCCATGTGGTCAGTATCATGCCGGCTACTTTTACTGCCCAGGACATTTTCTGGCACCCATCATAGACTGGCTGACATGGAAGATGAGTTCCAAAAAAAAACAACTGCATCTTGGTGGGGATTCAAACTAATGACTGCTGGACCAACAGGCAAGCACCATGACTGCTCTCAATGAGTTGAGTATGAAAGATGTAATGATACAGAAATAGAAGAAAAACCTACATATGTACTCATAATTCAACAGTGGATGAGCTGCCTGATAAATAATGAATCTTCTTCTTTTTGTTTGTTCCCATAACGTAATTGTGTTGTGCCTCTTTAAAGTCAAGCTGCGATACTTGCCCCTTTCGGCCGACACATCCAACTTCATCAAGCATTTGTAAATGATGGGTCTGACTGCATGTAGTCATGGTTCAACAGTGGATGAGCTGACTGGTAAATGATGAGTCTGACTGTATGTAATTATGATTCAACAGTGGATGAGCTGCCTGGTAAATGATAAGTCTGACTTATGTAGTCATGATTCAATAGTGGATGAGCTGCCTGGTAAATGATGAGTCTGACTGTATGTGGTCATGATTCAACAGTGGATGAGCTGCCTGGAAAATGTTGAGTCTGACCGTACATAGTGTTGGTTCAGCAGTGAATGGGCTGTCCGGTAAATATTGAGTCTGAATATATATATATATATATATATATATATATATATATATATATATATATATATATATATATATATATATATATATATATATATATATATATATTTGATAGGCTGCCTAGTAAATGATGAGCCTGACTGTATGTCATCACAGTTCAACAGTGGATGTCTGGTAAATGGGGGGCTGAGTGAATGTTTAGTAAATGGGGAGGGGGGGGGGGGCTGAATTGACTTAAGGTATGGCATCCATCTTAAGTGCTGGTGGTCCTGGATTCAAACCACGGTTAAGGCTGGGAGTTTTTTAACATGGACTTTTAGTAATTTTCATCTGGTCTCTTGATAGTAAGATCAGACGCCCGTGTGTATTGCTGGCCACATTTAAAAATCCCTTGGCAGTTGGAAATTGAAAAAGAGTAGAATGGCGCTGCCCGGGTACAATTTTCAGTTAAAAATTTAAACAAAGTATTTCAGGATCCTCCCCGGTACAACGTGCACTGTACTGAGATTCTTCGGACTCAGGCTTGAGTTAGAAGTAAAACGGTGCACTTATGGGTTATACCTGTGTGCTATGATGTTGATCCATTAAATAAACCATAAACTGGTAAATGATGAGTCTGACTGTATGTAGTGATGGTTCAAAAGTGAAAGGGCTGACCGGTAAATGATGAGTCTGACTGTATGTATTGGCTCAATATTTGATGGGCTGTCTGGTAAATGACGAGTCTGACTGTATATAGTTATGGTTCAATATTTGATGGGCTGCCTGGTAAATGATGTTATATAAAAATGTGTGCTAAGAGATCAACCAGTGATTACTTACCCTACTGATAAAATACAATCCACCAAAGACAATGTATGGTGGAAGAATCACACAGAATACATAGTGAAAAACTACTGCTGCATCACTGTGGACAGCATCTACCACAGGCACCAGCGTGTATGGAATCAGTGTAGGCTGAGGGGTAAAACAAGCATTCCACATGCAAACTTGACATATATCAATGGTCATTGAATATAATAGTGGTGGTAAATAAATGTAGTGTATGTGTAAATGAATGTACCGCGATCGAAACCTGCGTGGGCTGCGTGGATTTTTATCGTGGTATGGGACGTCGCAGGTCGACCCAGCCTCAATTGGGTACCAGGATGGGCTGTCAAATAAAGACGGCGGGAGTAATGCTGACCACATTACCCACCGAATGCCGACTGGTCTGTGTACAGGAATCTTTACTTTTACTTTTACTTATGTATAAATGTATGTGGAAGAATCACCTTGTTAAAAAAAAAAAAAAAATAACAAAAGCAACATTAAAAACTTAGTCCCATTGCAGATAGTGGCAGCATGGCCAGACACTTGCCTATCCAACCAAATGTCTTAGGTTTAAATCTGCAGATAACGTGTTGACATTTCTGTACAAGTCAGTTAAGTTTAGAACTTGTACATGTTGTACAAACTACACATTCATCAGATAGAGACATTTCAGCTCTGCTTCTTTTTGTTCTTCTAATCTTTATCCTCCATGTCATCCCATCTTTCATTATCAAATGTAGTTCTTATTTTGTGGTCCTTCTCATCCTTTTTTCATGTCACTCTATAATTCTCTTCTCCATGTGTTGGTGAATAATTCTCAATTTGTATCCATCATCCCAGGTCCGTGTGATTTCAAAATCTCTTTATAACCTATCATTTAGGATTCTATAAGCATTAGGATTCTATAAGCATTCATCTCACTCATCAACAAATTTATATTGTCCTTTCCCTTATTATTTATATTTTGAAGCTGCGTATCAAATTCCTTTTTAACTGTCTCATCCTTATCTTTAATTGCTGCATAACAACAGACTACAGACATATTAACTTTTCCCCTAAAATGATGCTCTTGTTATTCTAAACTCAGTGCTTCCCATTTTATTATTTATATTATTGATATTATTATCTTTTGAAAGCATCAGGGCCACTCCTTTAACTCTCTGAGTCCCAAGAAATGCATCATACGTTCATAGGTTCCTACCTAAAAGCCCAATGAATGCATGATGCGCCGATTTTATGACTCTATTTACTACACCCTGGGCCTGTGATGCTAAACCCCCTGGGGTTCAGTTAACATGGGAAAAATATTCCTCTGTATGATCTGAGGATAAATCCACGTTGTGACATCTCAATTGAAAGATCAGACTTAACCGAGTCAATATATTCAAATATCTGGGAACAATCATATCATCAGATGGAAAATGTGTGACAGAGATTAAAAGCAGAATAGGTCAAGTGAAAACTGCATTTCAGAAAATGAAAAATATCTTATGCAATAAATGGCTCTTATTTTATGTCAGAAAGAGGGTGCTAAAATGTTACATAGAACCTGTTCTGCTGTATGACAGTGAATCTTAGAATGTCAGTGAACAAATTAGGAAAAATTTGGAAGCAACAGAGATGTGGTTTCTGAGACAAATGTTACAAATACCTTGGACGGCCAGAGTAACTAACAACGATTACTTAAAAAAAGCGAATGAAAGTAGATCTCCATTTACAACAATAAGAAAGAAACAAACACTGTTCTTTAGCCACATAATGAGAAGAGAGGCATTGGAGAATGTCGTGACAACTGGAAAGATCAGTGGAAAAAGGAGTAGAGGCAGACCAAGAGAGATGATGCTGAATGGGCTGCAACGATGGCATGGAGGGATCATCAAGAGAGCTGTTCCAGGCAACCAGGGATTGTGATCTGTGGAGTTGCATGTCACCTACGCCAGTTGGTAGGGCACATGATGATGATGGTGACGATGATGATGATCTGAGGGAGAAAAAAACACAGCTTTATTTGTATTTAGAATATTCTTATCTGTTCCAGCCCAGTTGTTTCATACAATCCTTAAATGATAACTACAACATTGCATTTCTTTTACCAAATCTGTTGCACTTCAATTTCATACAGAGTCTTAACATTTCAGGTGACTATTCTGGAGATTTTCTCAGGTGAAATAAGGAGTATTTGCAAACTGGATTTCATTTGGCTTTCTTTACACAACTTAATTCTTCAAGCATGAGATGTCCCTCACCTTGGTTGATTGGTTATTTTTAATTATTTCGGTCTTATTTACATTTCCCAGCCCAGTGACTTTCCTTGCCATTCATGACTAGCTGGGTCGCAGGAACTTTCCTATGTTGCGGTGGTGGCATTTTTCTTTAGTGTCAACACTTTAACTGTTTCCTCTTCTCTTGTCTTTTCAGCACTTGCTTCCATGATTATTTTCATGTTCTGTTATGGTTCGGGACTATCGAAACAGTGATACTGCTATACTTTTATGTTCCTTGTAAATGCTCTCATTCTTTCGGGGGGAAGCCACTGCCAATGAATGCAGAAATACAAAAAACATCCCAGATTCAATACTTAAGAATCGTAATGCCTGTGGCACTTCCCCCTGCAGTACTTCGTACTTGTACACAGGCGCCTGAAATAGGCTAATGACAACACAACCTCCCACAAACATTATAAACCCTGAGCGAATGCCAAACCAAGCCATATCTTAACACCCCCGCAACATAGTCCTGCAACCCAACGAGTCATGAATGGCAAGGGAAGTTACTCTCTTCCTGGGCCGGGAAATGTAAAAAGGACCATTATTTCCTTTTTATGACTTCTTTATGGTTGGCTGGTTTTTATGGCTATGGCATTTTACAAGATGAGGTAGCCAACCCCAAGCACAGCCTTACTTTATTTTCACAACATGCAAGGTAGGACACTGAGTTACTTTTCCTAGTTTCTCCTAAGAACGCCTGTAAACTACAATTGATGAAAGACATTACTATCGGAAACAAAAATTAATAATAATAAAAAAGGGAAAAAAAAGGATCAACTTCAGTGTGCTAAGTACCATGTCAAGAGTACCACACAGGGTTATATATAAAAAGAAAGACTTACCAGAAGAAGCAAGACAGGCATACAAACTGCACATGTTTCTGCCTTGTCAAACAAGAATGAAAGGGTTAAAGCCAGCAGGAACAATAGGGGCACATTTGTGAAAACCACTAGTACCAAGGCACCCAATGCACCAACTGAGTTGAAGCCTTGCATCTGTACAGAACAAAAGATAGTTTAGTTTAGTTAGAGAACACACATGGTGAATCCTGAGTTATGAACAGATGATATAGCACCTATAATTTACACAACATTTACATAATGACAATTTTTTGTAAATTATTATTTATTTACAGTAACTATTTTTTTAAACTGTAATCCACGCAAAACAGCCACTACTTTTAAGTAATCGTAATTTATACATTTAAAAAACTGCTTAATGTTTTCATAAGTTTCTTTGATATGAACCATGTGATCAGCTGGAATTGATGGTAAGACATAACCATTATTCAATAAAACAGCTGAAATTCTTTTCAGACATATCACTGATAATTTTGCGCGAGAATCTGCACAGTTTTGCCATAACGTCGATTTCTCGGCACAGACACTGTGATACTGGTTTTTTTTAAAATATGTTTTGAAAAATTTGGATTAACCAAAGAAAATATTAATGTTTACCAAGCGTGGTGAGGCAATGGGTTTAATGTTTGATTTGTTTTTATTTAAATCAGTATGATACAATTTTTGAGTGATTTTCCAAAGCAAGTGGTAGGGAAAAGGTTTAAACCTGTCCATACTGTGGCTGTCGTTGAGGAATCTGAGCAGGATAGTGACAATAGTCGTGACATTATGATTAAAAATGCAAGTGCAAAATCTATTGCCAATAATATGGGTTAGGATGAAGTTAAACAAAATATTTCGCTAAGGGGACAAGATGTTTTATTAACCAACACAGAACAGGTGTCATCAGCCGTTTTTACACTTGTGGAGCTTTTGAGGAGAAGATCGAAGCACCTATGGATTTGTCCCGAGTGCTGTGATGACATACCTTTCTAATCACTAATCACTAAACAAAATATTTCAGCTGGATCATCCCTGTTTCAATCAGCTGTGTCTGGAATTTGGTTTTTGTGAAATTTGAGCATGAGAATTCCTAGAAATGGATTGCAAGTTGTTGGTCAAGCAAAAAGCAAGGTAAGAGCAAATTTTATATGCAAAAAAAAAATTTCATGTGTGTCTTGAATGTTGTGTTATTTTAATATACTGTTATTGTAATTATAATCCTTAAATAGTTTGAATGTATTCTGTATTCATTTCTCTTTAATTTGATACATTAGAAGTATGTGGTTATGCAGCTAACAATTATTTATTCAGAAAGGTTTTAGCTTGTCATGCTGAAGTAAAAATAATTAGCTCAACATCAATGCTGTCCAAACCCGAGAAAAAAATGTGGTCCTAAAAGAGTTAAGACTTGTCTTGGATGAACCAATGAAAAGCCTCCACTCTTCTGGTTTAAAACTTATCTTGAGGGCTGCCATTAAACCAGAAATGTTGATGCATTCAGAAAGTCATTTATTTTGAGGAAGAATATATTAAACAGCTTCTGATGGTTTCTTAACACATACATTCTAGCATCTTATGCCAAAAAATTCCACTGTTGCAATCTGGAACACAAAAGCTCTGCATTGTTCTTTGGTAAATTAATCTTTCTTTAAAGGATCACTGCTGGAACCACTTGTGTGAGCAATGCATCCTACAAAAATGTCCAGGGTGTATGACTTGCTTCAGTCACAGCAGAGAGCTGCCTAGGCGATGAACTGACTATTGGATTCCTACAGGAGAGCAAGGAGGGGCCAACAACAACAGGAGCACCACAGTAAGCCAGACACAAGTTAACAAGTTACACTGTAACTGCTACATACAAGTATTACAATACACCACAGCAAGTATGATAGTGCAGACAGCCTGATTTATAATGGACAGACACATTGTGTTGAGTTGAGTTGAGTTAAGTTAAGAATTGACATCACAGCACTTGGGGCATTCCCATGCATGCTCCGTCCTCATTTTCAGCAGCCAGCTCAGAGTTCCAATACTGATGGTACCGGTCACATTCTGGTTATATGTCGGACACATTGTGATGACAATGAATTGGTGATTGATACATTACTATCAAATCTACTATTTCCTACTATATACACTGACACTGGCAGTCTCTAGAACACAGACAGAACATAATCCACACTTTCATTCTAATTCTTGATGGCTGCTAAGGGAAACACCCGCCCCACCTCCCCACTCCACATCCATTTTTCATGATGGCAGTGACCACCCCATGATGGCTCTCTATCCAAGAGATCCTGCCAACCTGAAGGTTTAAGGTAGATGCATCATACCTGGTAAAGAAAATCCAGACCACATTGGCTACCTATTCATTCATACTCAATGTATCTATTCCAAAAACCACCCCGTCCGTCCTCACACTAGTCTCCAGTCAGTACCATGGCAATCCATAGAACTAAGGGACATGTCCCTCCATCGACCAGCGCAACACACAGATGCACCAGTGCTGACCTAACAACACACGGACCAACACTTAATCGGCCATTCTAGAACATCACAGTGACAGCATTCCAAGTCCAACTTACGATACACCAAATTCATTTACACAGTCCAAGCTCTCCACAGAAATCAAGCACACAACTAAACTAGCTACTGAATCAAACATACCAAGCATTTCTCCTAACAGCAGTCAGTTCAACATTGATCTCACTCCCCTCGCACACAACCCAGGGTTCACAGCCCACTTGTGAATACCAAGCCATACGTGCTTCCCACCTTCCAGTGGCCCAAGTGTTTACACTCATAACCCGTCAACACACCATCAATGCCAATATACACCACAGCTTTACCAACCCTTGACTAACCTTTGGCTTCCTTAATTCCTTCCACACCAAAGTGACTTTAAGCACACAACAATCATTCACTTAAATTTGGGTTATTAAGTGTGGTTTAGTGGATGCAGTTTGCTTAACCTCTGGGTTGCTGGAGGTTAAGAACCACCAATATCCACTTCTTCTTCATAGGAAACAGCTGAAAATAATTCTAGCACCTTTGAAAATGTAAGCTTATTGTCATGTGGTACCACAGTGGGAATTTTTATTCTAGACTTCATGTTTTTCTTCTTTGATATGCCCTTCCTATTTAGTGGATGTAGTCTGCTTAACTGTTTGCTTGAGGTTGATTGTTAAGAACCACCAATATCCACTTCTTCATCATTAGAAGCAGCTAAAAGAATTCTAGCACTTTGGAAAATGGACACTAATCAGTATGTGGTACTACATGTATTGCAGAGGTGATGTTTGAATATTCTAGATTCCATATTTTTCTTCTTGGACATGCCTTTCCTGGTTAGAGGGACCATATAGAACTAACAGTTGCTGAGATGATCAATGGGCCTTTTCTAAATCATTGGGACTATAAAAGGCATAGCTCGCCTTCTCAGACATGACTTGCACATTAACATATTATTTTTTTGACAACATTTTGAAATACTAAATCTCCACTGAACATTTCAAATCCAACAGATAAATAAGACAAGAGACCAAGCAAAATAATGTATCTAATTTTATAATAAAGTGCGGCTGACACTACATCGGCCATGCACTCAGAATGAATAAGACAAGACTCCCTCATCAAGCCCTCATATGGATACTGGAAGGGAAATGAAAATAGGGAAGATCAAGAGAGACTCTGCATAGAACCATCATCAGGATAGGCTCAACCATGGGCCTAATGAACACGATGACCCAAAACAGGGGACAACAATCTGCCAGACATGGAAAGCAATGACCTCTGAACTATGCGCCACCAAAGGCTCAAGAGGAATGACTAAATAACATGACAGACATTAAGAAACTTTTTTGTATATATAAAAATAATATAAACATTTGTTATTATTGACAAATTCTGAATTTTTCTTCTTTCATCTCTTTATGAAACACCGGCTCTTAACCAACTCAAGCTATGTAGACTTCTGAAATTTGCAGTAAAAACATAATAAGGTAGCTAGTCTCTAGCAACATTTCTTGCTGTGTCATTGATGTGTTAGCCCTTCACATATAACTAGGTCATGGCAAACTGGTGTTGATAACCAATTTACTCTTCAATGTATAGGAGTCTGATCATTCCATTCTTGGAATAAATTTATTTCATGGAAACTAAGATGTAACACAGAAACAACAATTCAGTGCACACAGTAGCTGTCTTCAATGAAAGAATCCATTTTTTTCTTTTCATGCACAAAGTGCAAGTCTATAATTGGACTTGACCTTACAGTGTTTGTTGGATTTTCCATGCACACACATATGCACACATGCAAACGTGCATGCACGCACACACACACACACACACACACACACACAGAGAGAGACAGATAGACAGACCACACACACATAAATATAAAGCAATGTGTGTACAGTGATTTCTGCTTTCATCTAGGAAACGTTAATTCTAAAACTTCTGAATACTGCTGTCTGCTTTCAGAAAGTCCTGCCTAAGATGATCAGACATGGGAGTGATATTCCTGTTTCACATGTGGCCACTGATCCTCAAAGATGATCTCCATCATGGCAGACCATCAACCCCCTAAACAGAAGAGAACATGTCACATGTGCAGATGTCCTACACACTGGTCCACATCTGACGATGAGACAGGATACAGAGAATTTGGGAATTCAGTTTGCAACCTGATGATCAGCCCTTGTATGATTTGTATAATCATGCAAACAAGATGATAATAAATGTTCACCTGTATTGCAAAAAAGGCAATAATGATGCCGATAACTGGCATGAAGAGAGTCAGCAAGTCACATATATATATTGTTCCCCAGTAAACATTGAATGTCACTCCAGAAATATGTAGCTGACTTCGTAGTTTAAACTGTGAACCCAAAAACATGAAACTGTTAATAACAGAAAACACAAATAATCAGTCTCACACAGCTACCCATCATATCGAAACAATTTTAGGCAGAGATTTGGGCACAAAATAGCCTCACACAGCTACCCATCAAATCCAAACAATTTTAGGCAGAGATTTGGGCACAACAGCCTCACACAGTTACCGATCAAATCCAAACAATTTTAGGCAGAGATTTGGGCACAACTGTTTCAGTTTCAAAATCCAACAATAAAACTCACACATGCATACCAAGACACTAGTTTTTGCAATGTTTCTTCAAGTAATGCTATTTGAGGACAAAGTGTCTAAGATTCAGTGACCTCTTTGTTCTTAACAATTTCAGAGTCAGATAACTTCTTGGCTTCTAACTATTTCAAAGTGAGATAATAACCTCTTTTCTCCTAACAATTTCAAAGTGAGATAATAACCTCTTTTCTCCTAACAATTTCAAAATGAGATAATAACCTCTTTTCTCCTAACAATTTCAAAATGAGATAATAACTTTTTTTCTCGTAACAATTTCATAGCGAGATAATAACCTTTTTTTCTCCTAACAATTTCAAAGCAAGAAAATAACCTTTATTTCTCCCAACAATTTCAGAGTGAGATAATAACCTCTTTTCTCCTAACAATTTCAAAGTGAGATAACCTCTTTTCTCCTAACAATTTCAAAGTGAGAAAATAACCTCTTTTCTCCTAACAATTTCAAAGCGAGACAATAACCTCTTTTCTCCTAACAATTTCAAAGCGAGATAATAACCTCTTTTCTCCTAACAATTTCAAAGTGAGATAATAACCTCTTTTCTCCTAACAATTTTAAAGTGAGAAAATAACCTCTTTTTTCCTAACAAATTCAAAGCGAGATAATAGCCTCTTTTCTCGTAACAATTTCATAGCGAGATAATAACCTTTTTTTCTCCTAACAATTTCAAAGCGAGAAAATAACCTCTTTTCTTTTAACAATTTAAAAGTGAGATAATAACCTCTTTTCTCCTAACAATTTCAAAGTGAGAAAATAACCTCTTTTCTCCTAACAATTTAAAAGTGAGATAATAACTTTTATTCTCCTAACAATTTCAAAGTGAGAAAATAACCTTTTTTTCTCCTAACAATTACAAAGCGAGATAACAACCTCTTTTCTCCTAACAATTTCATAGTGAAATAATAGCCTTTTGTCTCCTAACAATTTAAAAGTGAGATAATAACTTTTATTTCTCCTAACAATTTCAAAGCGAGATAATAACCTCTTTTCTCCTAACAATTTCAAAGTAAGATAAAAACCTCTTTTCTCCTAACAGTTTCAGAGTAAGATAATAACCTCTTTTCTTCTAACAATTTCTGAGTGAGATAATAACCTCTTTTCTCCTAACAATTTCAGAGTGAGATAACCTTTTTTCTCCAAACAATTTCAAAGTAAGATAACTCTTTTCTCCTAACAATTTCAGAGGGAGATAATAACCTCTTTTCTTCTATTTCAAAGTGAGATAATAACATCTTTTCTTCCTACAATTTCAAAGCGAGATAATAACCTCTTTTCTCCTAACAATTTCAAAGTGAGATAACAACCTCTTTTCTCCTAACAATTTAAGAGTGAGATAACCTTTTTTATCCCAACAATTTCAAAGTAAGAACTCTTTTCTCCTAACAATTTCAGAGTGAGATAATAACCTATTTTCTTCTATTTCAAAGTGAGATAATAACCTCTTTTCTCCTAACAATTTCAAAGTGAGATAATAACCTCTTTTCTCCTAACAATTTCAAAGTGAGATAATAACCTCTTTTCACGTAACAATTTTAGAGTGAGATAATTACTTCTATGCTTCTTACAACTTCTTCCACACCCCCCCCCCCCACCCCAACATTTAAAAAAATTGCATTTATTTTGTCTTCTTCTTCTTCGTGTTCACCTGCTGTAATCTCTGGTGGAAAGTTCTGGTTGTTCATCCACTTCTGGACTCCAGTCCTGTTCCAAATGGGCTTTTGACGAAACAGAAGTTGCACAGATGCCATTTATACATTGAGACAACTATCAGAGGGGGCAATAGAACATGATAAGACATGTTTGTTGACATTCATAGACCAAGAAAAAGCCTTCGATAGAGTCAACAGGAATATGTTGTAAGGATGTATGGGGAAAAAAAGAATCTGCGATCATCTCATTAATATTTGCAAAAGCCTGTACACACATAGTAAATGCTACATACGATCGAAGGCAGGGTTGTCAAGAACTTTTATAGTGAACTCTGGTGTGCGTCAGGGCTGTGTACTATCGCCGCTTCTTTTTATAACATATGTAGCGAAACGAACTTTAATCATGAAGAAGATATTACAGAATTACTATTCGCTGATGACCAGGTACTCACAGCAGAAAATAAGGAATGCCTTCAGAACCACCTAAATCAAATTAGTAACAAAGGGGAGGAATATAATATGAAAATAAACACTACGAAGACAGAGACAATGATGATAGGAAGACATAAAGACAATTTAGAAATTAAATTAAAAAACAACACCCTGAGACAAACTGAGGAATTTAAGCATTTGGGAGCAATTTTTACATCCGACGGAAAACTGGACAGAGAAATTAGCTCCAGATGTGCCAAAGCTAATCAAGTAATGGGTCAAATATCTCCCCTATTGACACAAAAGCAGATACCTCGGAGTACTAAAGTGAATCTTATTAGAACTATTTTTTGGCCAACACTATGCTATCAATGCCAAACGAGGACACTTACATCCTCCAATGAACATACAATTGTGACAACAGAGATGAAATGCCTTAGAAGAGCTGCAGGAGTTTCAAGGAAAGACAGAATATGAAATCATGAAATCAGACGAATGCTAGGAATAAAGCCAGTCTTACATGTCATCAAAGAACAAATGAGGTGGTTTGGACACCTAACAAGAATGCCCTGGTACTATCTGCCCAGCGAGCCACACTAAAACGTTACAACGGGTATAGAGCTAGTGGAAGACCTAGGAAAATATGGAGTGATGGCATTAAGAACAGCCTTACAGAAATGAACATCAGTCTCAATAGTGCTCTTGACAGAGCTCATCAACGAACATTACATCTCCCCCGACACTTTGATGAGGTAAAAGGTGGAAGAGAAGAAGAAGAAGAAGAATATCTCATATGTCGTTGGTTTGTGTCTTGATGGAGCAGGACTTTAAAAAAAAAGTCCTTGGCTCCCAGGTTGACCCAGCCTTGAGTAGATAGATACCAAGTGCAATCCTGGGAAGTAAAGGTGGTCAGCGTGATACTGACCACAGCACCCACCAAGTGCCGACTGGTCTTCAAAATATAGGTCTAGCCCTATATGCCCAAAGGCGTGAAAAAGTGTCGTATACTTTTTTACGAAACATGTCTTGTTGGTGTTATATTTTCTTTAATATAATCATTGCATCTGTTTTCTTGACATTCAAGGTCAACCCTTTCTTTGCACTTTTATTACTGTAATGTCCAACAGTTTTCTTTGTTTTTAAGGCTTTAGTGTTTATTGTATTGTCTGTCCACAACCTTCTATTTCTTGAACTGCAAATCATTTATCATACACAACTTTTTCCATTTCATGATGCTATCCTGTAAAACAGTTTCTCCCTTGGTCTTTCTCTGCCTTCTTCTTTTCCAAGTTTCCAGTGGTCATGATAATTTCCAGTTTTCTGCTTCTCCTCATGTGCCCAGTTATTATTATAAATGTATGTGCAGGTGATAAAATAGCAAACAGTGATGAATCATGGGTCACAGTTTGGCTTAGCAAAACAGCCCTGATCAGGAGCATACCATGGCTTTGCTGTCCATGACATTCTGGTTTGTGGTGTCATGAGCAGATTGACAGACTGGCTGCTGCTGCAACTGGGAGATGAGCTACTTTATGATGAAGCAGACGTGTTGAAGGCTCTCTGAGATCAAGTGGACAATGCAACAGTAGACAGTATCCACATATCAAGAGACTGATTTGGCAGAAAGTTAGGAGAGGGTCTGGACAGGTTTCAACGTGCTGGGAAAAGTCAGGCTGACTTTTAATCAGGTTGCAACTGGCGATTTCACAATGGGAACTCCATGCTTGCTAAAGAGGAAGGGGACAGCTCAGGTCTAGGAATGCCCAAAGTGCAATGCTGTCAATTCCTGATCAACTGATTCACTAAGTATGTGTCTACAGATTGTGGAATGAAATATGATGCAGGAAATCATTAATTGGCTTTCAAGACACAATTATAGTTTATAATTTTTAAATTTTAAAAAATTCTTTTAGTGATATTATCCTAATTTTACAAAACAAAATAACTGCTGGTTCTACATAGTATCTTACTAATTTGTTGTCTCTAACTGACTTGACTAATCTCTGTCCCCATGTGGGTCAAATTTTTCATTATTTTAAAGCCACAACCTGGTTGTTGCTGGGGCCCTAATATAACCTTAAGGTTGAACAGGGTTTCTGGGACCTCTCCACAGGTGATCCTCATCCCAATGGTGACACTTTGTGTCACTGAGTGTTTATCGCTCAGTATAATGTCCTGCTGGGGTAAAAATTCTGTCAAACTGACTTGGCACAGATATATAACACAGAATATGTTTCATTCTGTAAAGTACTGCTTTTGTTTCTCCAAATTAATTAAAATACTCCATTGTCTCTAACAATTATTCACCATCACTGTCATTGTGCCATCACACTGAACTCACATTCTGTTCCACATTTTGGTTTTGTCCTGTGTAATCAATTCAATTTCATGGAATCCAGTCTGGCACCATGGACCTCTCTGATGAAAGTTCATTTTAAGGTCTCTAACAGTTTCAAATATATAAAGTATCTCACAATCTCTAACATTTCCACACAGATAAAATGACCTCCCGATGATTTCAAACAAATTAATTACCTGTCTCTCCTTAACAATATCATAGGTGAAGGTGGGGACAATTAAAATAATGCACACTGCAACAAGGATAGCAGTCACCATAGATACTATGAGGAACTGCCCCATTACAGAAGGCCAAGGCAGGCTACTCCCATTTATCTGGACGTTGATATTTGAACTGTTCAAAATGTTCTGGGTGACCATGTTGATGACGACAGGGATAGAAAGGGCAGCACTGTCATTGTACAGTACAGTAAAGTCTGTTAGGTTCTGTAGAAACAGTAAATAATATGTTGTCACTATACAGCTCAACAAAGTTTGTTAGCTTCTGTAGAAACAGTAAAAAAATATGTTTGTAATTGTACAGCACAACAAAGTTTATTGGCTTCTGTAGAAACAGTAAAAAATATGTTTGTAATTGTACAGCACAACAAAGTTTATTGGCTTCTGTAGAAACAGTAAAAAATATGTTTGTAATTGTACAGCACAACAAAGTCTGTTAGCTTCTGTAGATACAGACATGCCTGGAGACTTCAGAACGTGTTTTTTTCTCCCCAACGTTATTTTTGTCTTTATATTTAAGTTATAGAGGAAAATATGCTCCTGGCTGTAACTTAAACCTTGGTTGAACTGAACAAAGCTATTTAATTTCCCTGGACTGCAGTTGATATTAAACACTCAGACTCTTGCCCACAGGTATGGTGTCAAGCATACAGATAACACAGACCAGGTAGACTTAGTGGCACCAGTGAAGTGGAAAGTACAGACCACCTAACCTGAGCCATCATGTAATTATCTGAAGCAAACCTTTAGGGGCAGACAACTGGTCATAGAAGTAATTATCTACCCCTGAGATTATCTTTCCTGAGCTGTAGGCCATGGCTAGGGTTGACACCTTTTAGAATGAGGTGTTAGCAGACAACCTCAGACCAGGTGTCAGAGCATTTGGCAGACTGGGAATGTAGAGAGCAGGTGTGACTTGGGGTATACAAATCTACCTCCAGCCAGATGGACCCTTCTAATGCAAAAGTGTTTCAGCCTTCTTGGCTGACAGGCAAATGGGAGGAGCTTTGACATCCCTTGAACAAGACAAGTTCAGGAGGAGAAATAGGAGGAGCTAACTCTGCTAGAGGAAAGTTTAACACAGTGAGGGGTCTATAATTCACTTCAGACTGCTGCCAGCATGCTGAGAGCTGCACTAGAAAGTTTTGCTAGCTGTTTGATTCTTTTTGGCAAATTGCTGGAATGTTCCCAGGTATGATTGAATATTATTTTCATCCTTTTTTAAAATTCATGTCAGGAGTCTAGCTATCCTATTCTACCTTTCCTGAATTATCTAAATACATATTCTGCTAGAAATAGTCTTTGTGAGGATTAAGCTACCCCTGTAAGGGAGCTGGTAAACCATTCCCATTTCTTGAATTCCAGAGAAATTTGACTAAAAAGCTCAACAAAATGGGAAAGAGGAAAACGTGCACAAAACAACACATTTCTTGAATGTTTGTATTACATGTTTTTCAGTGTATGTTTTCACATTTATAAAATAAGACTTGAATACTGATATTTATTTTAATGAAATGTAATAAAATTATAATGTTTCAAACATTCACAAAACCATGTGCACTTTGTGGGGACATGATGCCCACATGTGCAGCCACGTGGTGATGGTTTTGCTAGCACACCATGTACTTGATTTAATTGGTTTACCCACTCAGGGGAAAACCATGAGAGTATATACTTAGCTGTCCTTGGAAATAAAATATTCAGGACAGCCAGCACATATTAAGTTGTTGGTATTCAGCACTTAACCTTGTACCACATGTCCATGTCAGAACGTGTCAGCCAGTTTCGAAGTCTGAGTGAGAATGGACAACAGACTGATAGGACTTCAACTATCATGATAGAAAATGAGAGGGGCTGTGAGCTATGTGGACATCAGTGTCAGACATAAGACCTTCAGACTAGACTGGAGAGAATGTGAATATGAGGAGGAGGGGTGAAATATGTTTTATTTTACTAGACACTACACCTTTGCACTTGTTTCTTTTTTCACAGTTCCTGTCAGGGCAAGGACGAGTCAGCATGTATCAGTAGCAGATGGTCGAAGTATATGACCTGCCTGAAGTGAGGATGACAGACAGGGAAACGTTGCAGTCTCTTCATGGGAATTGTTCCAGGTTTACAAGTTATGTTCAAATAAATTATCACCATCGTAACACCATCCTCACACTATTACCATTTGCACATATTGAACTCATTGACTGACTCATTATTCATCACTGAGCTTATATCCTTTATGATTGCAAGATCAATACCATCCATTCATTTTTGTTTAGACTGATTCAATTAAATCTTGTTCAGGTTATTATAAAATAGTTTGGTAAATTGTGTACTTAGGTTCAAGTGTTTTTGTGCATACTAGTTCACCTCAGCTCACTTACATGTAAATCACTTGATGGGAGCATTCGTTATTCATTAATACCAGGAGACAAGAAAGTCGGAGGGGTTAACTGTATCTGGATATTTTTGTCTTGAATTACTCTTGATATCTAACTACCCGTTTCCTACTCCTGTGGATACAAGTACAGCTACCTTCATTTGATTGTACGAGCCACTTTTTGCTGTTTTCTTGGTTATCCAGGACTGTGTTTGGGATCAACATAGCTCAGACCTTAGTCCAGTTTTTCACGTGGGTGTGCTAGGTCAGGATTCAAAACCACACTCTCATTACATAAGAATATATCCACGTGGGGTTGGCGACACAATACATGGACAGTGCGTAGTACAATAAAGTCTTAGGTTCTGTAAAAACAGTGCTGCAGCCTCCTCTAATACTGCTCCAGTCTTTTCCCATAGTGCAAAAACTCCTTCCATACCGCTCTGCTTCTTCCCATACTGCTCCAGCCTTCCCCCATTGTGCAAAAGCTTCTTTCCATTCTGCTCCAGCTTTCCACCATAGTGGCCCAGCCTGCTCCCATACTACTGCAGTCTTTCCCCATAGTGCAAAAGCCTCCTTTCATACAGCTCCAGCTTTCTCCCATATTGCCTCAGCCTTCTCCCAAACTCCAGCTTCCTCCTACTGTGTTCTAGCCTCCTTCCCTACTCCAGCCTCCTCCCTTAACACTGCAGCCTCTCCCCATAATGCAGCAGCCTTCTCTCATGCTGTTTCAGCCTCCTCTCCCATAGTGCTCCAGCCTTCTCTAATAACCCTGCAGCCTATGCGCATAAAACAATAGCCTCCTCCCATGCTGCTTCAGTCTCCTCTCATAGCACTGCAGCCTTTCCCTAAAGTTTATAGCAACATCCTCCCATGCTGCTCCAGAATCATTTCATAACACTGCAGCTTCTCCTCATAGTTTATAGCAGCCTCTCCTCATAGTTTATAGCAGCTTCTCCTCATAGTTTATAGCAGCCTCTCCTCATAGTTTATAGCAGCCTCTCCTCATAGTTTATAGCAGCTTCTCCTCATAGTTTATAGCAGCCTCTCCTCATAGTTTATAGCAGCCTCTCCTCATAGTTTATAGCAGCCTCTCCTCATAGTTTATAGCAGCTTCTCCTCATAGTTTATAGCAGCTTCTCCTCATAGTTTATAGCAGCCTCTCCTCATAGTTTATAGCAGCTTCTCCTCATAGTTTATAGCAGCTTCTCCTCATAGTTTATAGCAGCTTCTCCTCATAGTTTATAGCAGCTTCTCCTCATAGTTTATAGCAGCCTCTCCTCATAGTTTATAGCAGCTTCTCCTCATAGTTTATAGCAGCTTCTCCTCATAGTTTATAGCAGCTTCTCCTCAGCCTCTCCTCATAGTTTATAGCAGCCTCTCCTCATTGTTTATAGCAGCTTCTCCTCATAGTTTATAGCAGCCTCTCCTCATAGTTTATAGCAGCCTCTCCTCATAGTTTATAGCAGCCTCTCCTCATAGTTTATAGCAGCCTCTCCTCATAGTTTATAGCAGCTTCTCCTCATAGTTTATAGCAGCTTCTCCTCATAGTTTATAGCAGCCTCTCCTCATAGTTTATAGCAGCTTCTCCTCATAGTTTATAGCAGCCTCTCCTCATAGTTTATAGCAGCTTCTCCTCATAGTTTATAGCAGCCTCTCCTCATAGTTTATAGCAGCTTCTCCTCATAGTTTATAGCAGCCTCTCCTCATAGTTTATAGCAGCTTCTCCTCATAGTTTATAGCAGCCTCTCCTCATAGTTTATAGCAGCCTCTCCTCATAGTTTATAGCAGCTTCTCCTCATAGTTTATAGCAGCCTCTCCTCATAGTTTATAGCAGCTTCTCCTCATAGTTTATAGCAGCCTCTCCTCATAGTTTATAGCAGCCTCTCCTCATTGTTTATAGCAGCCTCTCCTCATAGTTTATAGCAGCCTCTCCTCATAGTTTATAGCAGCCTCTCCTCATAGTTTATAGCAGCTTCTCCTCATAGTTTATAGCAGCCTCTCCTCATTGTTTATAGCAGCTTCTCCTCATAGTTTATAGCAGCTTCTCCTCATAGTTTATAGCAGCTTCTCCTCATAGTTTATAGCAGCCTCTCCTCATAGTTTATAGCAGCCTCTCCTCATAGTTTATAGCAGCTTCTCCTCATAGTTTATAGCAGCCTCTCCTCATTGTTTATAGCAGCTTCTCCTCATAGTTTATAGCAGCTTCTCCTCATAGTTTATAGCAGCCTCTCCTCATAGTTTATAGCAGCTTCTCCTCATAGTTTATAGCAGCTTCTCCTCATAGTTTATAGCAGCTTCTCCTCATAGTTTATAGCAGCTTCTCCTCATAGTTTATAGCAGCTTCTCCTCATAGTTTATAGCAGCTTCTCCTCATAGTTTATAGCAGCCTCTCCTCATTGTTTATAGCAGCTTCTCCTCATAGTTTATAGCAGCCTCTCCTCATAGTTTATAGCAGCCTCTCCTCATAGTTTATAGCAGCCTCTCCTCATAGTTTATAGCAGCTTCTCCTCATAGTTTATAGCAGCCTCTCCTCATAGTTTATAGCAGCCTCTCCTCATAGTTTATAGCAGCCTCTCCTCATAGTTTATAGCAGCTTCTCCTCATAGTTTATAGCAGCCTCTCCTCATAGTTTATAGCAGCCTCTCCTCATAGTTTATAGCAGCCTCTCCTCATAGTTTATAGCAGCTTCTCCTCATAGTTTATAGCAGCTTCTCCTCATAGTTTATAGCAGCTTCTCCTCATAGTTTATAGCAGCCTCTCCTCATAGTTTATAGCAGCCTCTCCTCATAGTTTATAGCAGCCTCTCCTCATAGTTTATAGCAGCCTCTCCTCATTGTTTATAGCAGCCTCTCCTCATAGTTTATAGCAGCCTCTCCTCATAGTTTATAGCAGCTTCTCCTCATAGTTTATAGCAGCCTCTCCTCATAGTTTATAGCAGCCTCTCCTCATAGTTTATAGCAGCCTACCCCCACCATGCTGCTCCAGCCTCCTCCTCCCATAGCACTCCAACTTCCTCCTCCCATGCTGCTCCAGCCTCCTTTTATAGCACTGCAGCCACGGACTATGCAGGCTAGGATGTTTAATTTTGCCCCCACCACAAAAATGTGATGATTCTTACATAAAACTGAAAACAGAGGTCAACACTAACAAGAGAAAATGAAGGTAAACTCTTATAGAACTGAAAACAAAGATCAACTGTTATATGATTGTTCCTCTTGTACACCACTGGAAACAGAGGTAAAGTTTAAAACATACTGGAAAAAATAGATAACTAAATACATACACAGCTAAAACTGAAGGCAAACCCAAACTCAGTGTAATGCACAGGTAATTTCTGTTTTTGACACAGGTGAGAGAAAGGTTTACTCGAGCACAGCTGGCAGAAATGTAAATTCTTACGCAACTAAGAACAATTCTTACACAACTGGGAGGAAGTTAAACTCAGGCCCAACTAGTAGAAAGTCAGAGTCTGAACAACTTTAGAAAAGTAAACTCTTGCACAACTGAAAGCAAAGGCAAAAAGTAGGAAAAAAGTGAGGCTAAAGCAAAGGAAAATAAATGGTGTCTGGCATTTAAAAAAAATGGACTGTCATGGATGGGATTAGGGGAGTAGGGCGGGCGGTAGTGTGGTAGGGGTAGAGACCTTACTTGACCAATGACCCTGTCAATTTGAATTCCAATCAAATGAGGGGCCACATCAGAAGTATTCTTGGTGCCAGCTAAGTAGGTGTCAACAGCATAGTGCCTCTTCCAGTTAGAGATGACAGCCTGAGAGCCATTGTTATCTGAAATGTGTTTAAGTGCTCCCTGGAATTTGTATATAACATATGTCAGAAGTGGGTTATCACTGCAAGCTAACTACCATAATTAAGTATTGTATGAACTGGTCAAATGTGCTGCTGTAATGAATTGTTGTAGGAATTGTTCAAATGTGCTGCTATAATAAACTGTTGTATGAACTGTTCAAATGTGCTGCTATAATAAATTGTTGTAGGAATTGTTCAAATGTGCTGCTATAATGAACTATTGTTATATGGGTTGTTCAAACATGTGCCATAATGTACTTTAGTCCATAGTTTTGCAGTATTTAGCTTGTTTGCCCACTTGGCTCAAGTGAGGCAGGGATTCACACAAAAAACTGACCTGGTGCTCTTCAGCTGACTCAGCCTAAAATGGGCAGGCAGGAAATATTTTGGAAATAAAGCTGGCTGGTGTAATATTGATGGCATCACCCAGTGAATGCCAGTTGGTCCACACAAGTATGGAGCTGGCATCATATGCCCCACCGTGTGGAAATGTGATCATTGGTCTCAACAAGTAACAGCAATAACATCACCAGTCAGAAACAACTTTAGTCAGCATAAATGATGTTATATTATGTTATCACAATTGACGTCTTTGCACATTCAGCATTCTCATGTGTGCTTGGCCCCCTGATGCATAAGCCACTCCAAGGTACTTTGGGTACTTTGACTGATTGTTTCCATGAGGAGCTGGTGATAGTCTTGTTCTTCTTCTTTGCATTCACCAGTTTTAAACTAACCTAATAGACTCTGGCAACAAACAATTGTAACTATCTCTATTTTCTGATATGTCAAATGTTGAATAAGGAATCAACATCACAGCAATCGGGACTCTCCCATAAGCGCTATATCCACATCTTCAGCAGAAAGCGAAGAGTTTATGGTAAAAAATGATTAACTATTTGAAGTTAATTGGCTTACGAAGTTATCCCTATCAGGTGGTCGCCAGCATACTGGCATATCATAGAGACACTCTAATTTTGTTCCGTTTGTAAGGGAAAAAAAAACTTTTATGAAAAAGTTTTTGATAGCAACAGGAAGTCCTTTTGTTTGCGAAGTTCATCATGGTTGGTGCATTATTTTTTTACGTAAAATATTTTTTATTTAGATGTGATACCATTCTTATGTGATTTTTCTATACTAAATGATAAGGGAAAATGTCTTGAACTGTTCATACTGCTCTGTCATTGATGAATCTCTGCCAGATGGTGACAATAGTCTTGATATTATAATGGATATTTAAGTGACAAACCCATTGGCAATAATTTACATTAGGATTTGAAAATTTAACAAAATATTTCAATCTTATCAATGTTTTGATCAGATGTTTCCCAATTTTTGGTTGTTGTGAAATCTGACATGTCACACTATAATAATCATAACATCCAAAGTATTTAAATTAGTTGTTTCAAATAAGGACTAGCTGGTACATAATTAAACAGAGAAGGCATGTGCATTCTTAGAACTGGGTAGCAATGTTGTTGAACAAGTAAAAAAAAAGTAAGGTAAGTACAAAATTTGTTTATGTAAATAATCTTCATATGTGTCTATCATCCTTGGATGTTGTGTGATTTTAATAATATTTTGTTGTAATACTGACACTCAAATAGTTTAGATTTATTCTGCATTCATTTATCTTTAATTTGATTTATAATATGTTCCGATACAGCTCAAAATTAATGCTGTCTAACCCCCAGAACAAATGTGGTCCTAAAAGAGTTAAAAGAAGCACCCATTAAATGTAATGCTAATTAAAAGTTTAATAAAACAAGCATGAATAGACACACTTGGAATCTAACAAATTAGATACATAAAACCTCACATACTGATCAACTGAATGGCATTTATCATTTTACAACATTTGAAGAAACAGTTAATGGCTTAGGATCTTTTCAAGAAGTTTACCTATCACATTTTGTATGGTAATAATCATATAGCTATTCATCCTGGTTTTGTCCTTGCCTGACTGAGGCAGAGATTTGAGGTAACTGGAGCCAGTCAGCAGAAACTGATCTGTCCTGTCTATCTATTCATAAATAAATCTAGACATTTAAAACCATTTCTTTCTCCCAAGCAGTTACTGATAATTTACATTACAAGCCAAATATGGTGGTTTTCTTGGATATCCGGGACTTTTCTTTCCTATCAGTCTAATTCAGACACTCGTACAGTTTCTCAGGTGGATGTGGAGGGTTGGCACTTAGACCCACACTCACCATAAAAGTATAAGAGGTAAAAACTATACACAAGGGAGCTGAATGGACATAGAATACAATGCAGACCAAGAAGATGATGGAGACATAGTATCCAGACAGCTCTACAAACACTTGGTGTAAGCAAATGAAAAAAAGAAAGCCAACAAGAGAGATGAATGTAGGCGGTGGTATCTGCAGCAAAATACCTAAAGGCTCAGAATACTGAAGAAGAATAATACAACAGAGATAGCACAGTAACATACAAAATATTTAAGATAAAAGAGTTGCAAAAAAGAACAGAATAAATCTAAATAAAAAGAGAAGATGAGAAAAGAATGGACATAATAGTTTATAAAAGAATAGAATATAAAAGAATATACAGAACAGAGGAAAATAGAAGAGAAGAAAAGAGGAGAAGAGAGAAGAAGAGAGAAGAGAAGGGAAGAGAAGAGAAAAGATAGAGAATAAAGGAGTAGAAAAGAGAAGAAAGAAGGGGAGGAGAAGAGAGGAGAGGAGGAGAGATGAGGAGAGAGACGAGAAGAGAAGAGGGGAGGAGAAGAGAAGAGGAGAAGAGACGAGAGAAGGAGAGAGAAGAGAAGAAAATAGAAGAGAAGAAAACAGAAGAGAAGAAAACAGAAGCGAAGAGAGAAGAAGAGAGAAGGGAAGAGAAGAGAAAAGAAAGAGAATAAAGGAGTAGAAAAGAGAAGAAAGAAGGGGAGGAGAAGAGAAGAGAGGAGAGAAGGAGAGATGAGGAGAGAGACGAGAAGAGAAGAGGGGAGGAGAAGAGAAGAGGAGAAGAGATGAGAGAAGGAGAGAGAAGAGAAGAAAATAGAAGAGAAGAAAACAGAAGAGAAGAAAACAGAAGAGAAGAAAACAGAAGAGAGGAGAAAAGAAGAGAAAAGAAGAGAGAGAAGAGACAAGATGAGAAGACAAGAGAAGAGAAAAGGAGAGATGAGTAGAGAAGGGAAGAGAAGAGACAAGAGGAGAAGACAAGAGAGGAGAGGAGAAAAGAAGAGAGGAGAGGAGAAAAGAAGAGAGGAGAAGAGAACATACTTACTGACAGCATCAAAGACTAGAAATGATGGAGGTAACGGCCCTGGCAATCCAGCACCTCTGGCATACATGAAGGGATTAAAGAATGTCGGGTCTGAAATCCTCACTGGTGGCTTTTCCTTCATTTTTATCAGGTTCAAGCCTAAAATCACGAAACTTAGAGGCATTATAGCACTGATGAGCACTAACAGTATGCTACGCACTTTAAGCTTAAACCTGATCTGGAAAAAAAAATTCAAGAACAATTACAAATATACTAATGTGAGTAAGAGTAGTTTGAAGTAACAATAATCAACTGTAATTTAACCTGATCTCTCCATCCATCTTCTTAAAGGGAAGTTAATAGTCATGTCTATCCACAACATTCTGTCTTCTGTACTTTCAATCAACTCTGACACAGATGATCTTCCATGCCATTATGTCAAACTGTCCAGCATCTGTTCTCTCAGTCTCTCCTCCTCTCCAACTTTTCCACCATCACTAAGTACTCCAGTTTTCTGCTTCACATCACATGACCAAAGAATGTAGATTGTCTCTTTAAACTGATGTGGGTAATCAGTTATCATCGTGAGTCAGTTTCTTTCAAGACTTCTTCATCACTTTTTTTTATCTGTCCAGGATATTCTCATCATTTGTCTACAAAGCCACATCTCCGCAGCTCCCAAATTATTTATCACTAATTTACAAACTGTCCATGATTCACATCTGTATATCTATATACGATTTATACAGCTTTTCAGAATTCTCTTTCTCGTCTCAAATGACAAAAAAAAAATTGCATAAAATATTCTTCATTTTGTAAAATGCTGCCTTTGCTTGAGCTATTTAACATTTAACTTCCTTAATACATCTTCAGTCAGCTTTGTGGCTAAGTCGACGAGAACGCTTCGTAATGCCGGGATGCCGGGTTCGATCCCAGCTGGGTGCCATGCGCCTTGCGTTGGTTTTGACAGTGATATAAAAAAAGTCGACCGTTCAGAAAGCAATGGCAAACTACTGGATGTAAATGTGCCTAGAAAAACCACACAACAGCCAGGAGCTGTTGGGGTTGGTTCTGCAACGTCCTGATGTTATCAGGGTACCCAAGTACTTAAACATCTCAACTTGCTTGAGGTTGTCCCATTTACTTTGATGCTGCATTTTGAAGGGTCAGTTTTGTTTGTAATAACCATTACTTGTTTTTCTGCTGTTCAAACTAAGACCCTTGTTTTCACTTTCTATTACAATTATATCCATCATTTACTGCGATTGTGTTTCACTTTCAGTGATCAAAACTATATCAGCAGCAAATTGCAGGTTGTTAACAATATGCCCACCAACCACTATTCTTGGTATACCATGTATGGATCTGATCTCCATCCATCAATTTCTTTATTTTAATTACATCTGTAGTTTTGTGTAGGGCAGTGTTTTCCAAACTTTTCTTAGCCGTGGCGCCTTTTTCCAATTACAATTTTTCCACGGCCCCCTAACCTAAGTAAAAGTATGACTATTCGTATGTAAGGGATCAAAGCAAATAAAACTTGTGTACCTTCAAATATTTTGCGGCACCCCTGTGAAGAGGTCGTGGCTCCCCCGGGCGCCGCAGCGCACAGTTTGGGAATCACTGGTGTAGGGCATTTTATTGAAAAATGTATGTCTTGTTGTACAACACAACCGGGTGATGATCTGTATCTAAATTTACACTAGCTATCACTTTACTGCCCATTTTGTCTTCTTGATGTGCATTCGATTAATATGAAATCAATCTGACTTGACTGGCTCAAGTCTCTCCACCCATACCATGTTTGCCTTTAGCTGTTATTGGTTCAAAGATGTTTTTGTGATAAAACAGCTCATGCTGCACACACAAATTTGAAATGTGCTCTCTGTTTTCGTTACAATTCCTTGGGGATCTAGACATGCATTCCATGGTGATCTTCTTTTATCTACTCTTCCACTGAAATCTCCCATCACGATCAAGTCGTCCAAGTGAGGCACGCTATGTACTGTGCTAAAAATTTCATTCTAGAATTGATTTTTGTCTTCATTTGATGGTGTATAGACCTGCACAGTTGATGTTTGTTTGTGCTAAAAATGGATAGATGATAAAGGCAGCACTGTGTGCTGAATGTTGGCTGGTGTTTACTCCACTCTATATTATAACTTAGTCTTTGTGTATCAGGAATCGCAGCGGCGGAGCGGCTAGACGCGCGCCGCAGATCGGAAAATCGTGGGTTCGCTCCCTGGCGGAGCCGGACTTTTCTTAAAAAATGACCTTGGCTCCCAGGTCGACCCAGCCTTGAGTGGGTACCGGGTGCAATCCTGGGAAGTAGAGGCGGCCGGCGTGATGCTGACCACATCACCCATCTTGTTCCGATTAGTCTATACAAATATAGGTCTAGCCCTACATGCCCTATGCACCTAAAGGCGTGGAAAAGGGTCCTTTACTTTACTACTTACTTTTTGTATCTGTTTCATATTTTGTCCTTTTTATTTCTACAATCTGATAGTTCCATGATCTTTATATCATACTTTTTCATTAAATTCACAATTTCTACTTCTTTTTGTCCTAACCACAGTTGTTTAGTGTAACAATTTTGAATGTCAGGTCAGATCATATGCCCTGAGTGTTACTACTTTGATTTGATAGAAAAATGGTCAACAGACTTCTGGCTTCTCTAATGGTTCTGTTCACTTTTTTTGACTCTTTAAAACAAATTCACTGATTATTTTTCTCAGTGGTTTTATTTAATTTGTGGAGAATCTGCCATCAAACCTCTGAGTTCTGACAAAATTAGAGCTATCACTCAGCATTCTAGAGGAATCTAAACCAACAACAGGTCACATTTTAAATAGAGCTGAGGTTGTCTCATGGTTAGTGCATTTATTTACCAAACCTATGGTCTAGATTGAATCTCCAGCTGTGGCAGGATTCTTCCTTTGCCGTTTACCATTACAGCTCACAGTTAATGTCTGCTGATGGTCACAGATTCAAATCTCCATCAAAGGAGATTATTCAAAAATTGACCTGGGCTTCTAGGTTGACCATAAGAAATGGATACCAAAAGATGTTCTTGGAACTATTGAGAGCCTTTGTGATAATGACCACATGAGCCACCTGAGTTCCAACTGGAGTATACATATGTGGGGATAGCACTATATATCCAAATTAATATGTGTTACCACCATCCAATATGTAAAGTCCCACCCCGGCTGGTGTTGGGGGCCCTAATATGACCTAATGGTTGAATAGGGTTTCTGGGACTTGTACCTGGTTGATTCTCATATGAATGGTAGCACTTTGTATCACCAGGTGTTTATCGCTGTTTGCCTGGTCCTGGTAGGGTTGAATGTCATTCACTCCACCATACACCCCATATCATTGAAGATGTGTAAACATGTCTCCCTCCCTACTTACCTTTAACAAAGTCCAGAATCTCTGCCTGGTTAAATCCCTTCCATGCACAGTGGATTTTCCAAACAAATTAACATCCAAGATGGAAGAAGACTTGTCAGCATCGACAATATGACCATTTGCAGGCAAATCAGGGTCGATTGCTTCACTGTTTTCTCCAAGAGAATTAGCCTCTGAGACGGACGGAGGCTTGTCAGCATCGACGTTATGACCATTTGCAAGGAAACCAGGGTTGATTGCCTCACTGGACTTTTTTTCATTATCCACAGACTCATCGCCTTCTGTCATTTAAAAAAACAAAACAACAACAGTGACATTCAGCCAACACTGCAGCTTGACAAATGCTAGTTTTTAACAGTATCATAAACAAGAGAAAGAGGCAATCCTCATTGTTTGGCATGATAACAACATACTTTCTTCTTTTTTTTTTCTTTTCATTAATTCATGCAAGACGGACATAACTGTGCTTCAACCACTGACATAAGTAAAAGGACCCTTTCCCACACCTTCAGACGTATTGGACATATAGTGCTAGACCGATATTTTATAGACTGGCACTCGGTGGGTGATGGGGTCAAGATTATGCCGGCTGCCTTTATTTCTCAAGATTCCTTCTTGCAGGGATTTTAAAATGAGTTGACCTGGGAGCTATGTTTTTTTTTAAAACTCCAGCCCATCAAGACTGAAACCCATGAGCTTAAAATCTGCAAGGGAATGTCTAGCCGCTACACCACTGCTGTGATATTTACATCTTTTGGCCAACACATCCAATTTCTTCAGTTCTTGGTTAGCCTTGCTGGTGCTTATTTATATGTGATAATTTGTTTACATAATAACAACACACACACACATACACATACACCTAGCTATTATAACTGAACACAATGATTACATGATAACCACAGATAGCTTATTCGAATTGAAGATAATTATTACATAATGACATACACATAGACCGACCTAGCTCATTCTAATCCAACACAATGATTACATGATTACCTCCCTTCCCCCAAACCTCCCCCAGCATGCATGCACGCACACACACAAACATATATACATATATATATGCAAACTTACCTAGCTTAAAGAAGACTTCCTCCAAGGTTGTCATATACACGCCATAACTAACAATGCCAAGTGATTCTGCCACTCGGTCCAGATTGTTAAACAGAACTGAGGAAACACACCCACATGGTTTTTATATATAAATTTTTTTTAAATTTAATAAACACAATGGTGGCAGAGAGGATTAACTGACAGATTTTCTAACACACACTCATACACCCCCCCCCCCCCCCCCACCCGACACTACAATTCAATGAGGTAGCCGGAGGAAGAGGAGAAGAAGAGTAAGGGGTGAACATTTCAGCTGTCACATATAGGGAAATATGCCCTTCATGCTGAAGATGTCTGCTGTCACAGATAAGGACATATGCCTTTCATGCTGAAGATGTCTGTTGTCACAGATAAGGACATATGCCTTTCATGCTGAAGATGTCTGTTGTCACAGATAAGGACATATGCCTTTCATGCTGAAGATGTCTGCTGTCACAGATAAGGACATATGCCTTTCATGCTGAAGATGTCTGTTGTCACAGATAAGGACATATGCCTTTCATGCTGAAGATGTCTGTTGTCACAGATAAGGACATATGCCTTTCATGCTGAAGATGTCTGTTGTCACAGATAAGGACATATGTCTTTCATGCTGAAGATGCTAATGGACACACAGAAAGAGTCTCATTATATCCTTCATGCTGAATATGTCTGCTGTCACAGATAAGGACATTTGCCTTTCATGCTGAAGATGTCTGTTGTCACAGATAAGGACATATGCCCTTCATGCTGAAGATGTCTGCTGTCACAGATAAGGACATATGCCTTTCATGCTAAAGATGTCTGTTGTCACAGATAAGGACATATGCCCATCATGCTGAAGATGTCTGTTGTCACAGATAAGGACATATGCCCTTCATGCTGAAGATGTCTGCTGTCACAGATAAGGACATATGCCTTTCATGTTGAAGATGTCTGTTGTCACAGATAAGGACATATGCTTTTCATGCTGAAGATGTCTGTTGTCACAGATAAGGACATATGTCTTTCATGCTGAAGATGCTAACGGACACACAGAAAGAGTCTCATTATATCCTTCATGCTAAATATGTCTGCTGTCACAGATAAGGACATATGCCTTTCATGCGGAAGATGTCTGCTGTCACAGATAAGGACATATGCCCTTCATGCTGAAGATGTCTGCTGTCACAGACAAGGACTTATGCCTTTCATGCTGAAGATGTCTGTTGTCACAGATAAGGACATTTGCCCTTCATGCTAAAGAAGTCTGCTGTCACAGACAAGGACATATGCCTTTCATACTGAAGATGTCTGCTGTCACAGACATATGCCTTTCATGCTGAAGATGTCTGCTGTCACAGACAAGGACATATGCCTTTCATGCTGAAGATGTCTGCTGTCACAGACAAGGACATTATGCCATGCGTTTAGATGTCATTAATCCCAGAGAAAGACATGATGCCACTGAGCTAAGATATCATCTATGCCAGAGAATGACATTTCCTTTAGTTAACTTATCATCTTTCCCAGAGAAAGACAGTATGCCCTCGAATTGAGATATTATCTATCTCACAAAAAGACATTACACCCTTGAGTTAAGATATTATCTATCCCAGAGAAAGACAGTATGCCCTTGAGCTAAGCTATCATCTATCCCAAAGAAAGACCCACTGTGCCCTTGAAATAAGATATCAGCTGTCACATAGAAAGACATTCTCATTAGGCACAGTACATGTGTAAATTACAATTGGAGACCAACCAGAAAACTTGGAGACATCTTGGAGAGGTACTGTGTAACTGATCTCCTTCCCATGTGACCTTGTGAGTTTAACATTTGGAATCACTGACCTGAGCAGACATGTCACAGTGCCCACATTGCAGTTGGGTTCTACAACCATCCTGTAGAGTCAGACATGGTGCAGGTTAGAAAACATGCACATACATGTGTAAGGGTGATTAAGAAACACAAATGCATATTGCTGCAAAGATTAACACACCTGCTTGGGTTTTTGACCCACTTTAGAGAACAAACACTAATGAATCTCAAAAACTACAAAAATAACTGATAGAAGTAACAGTACATGTGAAACTGGAATGTAAACTGAAAGACAATACTTTCCCATAAATCACTGGCTAATATTCAAAACATATATGGTTTCTCTTAATGGTGCCCCACTCCAAGACGTAGAGTCGTACCCCTATTTGGGCAGTAATGTAGATAAAGATGGGGGAACTGATAAAGATATTAAAAAAGAATACAAAAGGCAAGAGCTTTCATAGCACTAAGGAATTTGTGGGGGTAAAAAAAAATTAATAGAAGTACTAAACTTTAAATTTTTAATTCTAATGCCAAATCAGCACTTTTGTATGGGGCGAAAACAAGAAGAAAAAATAAGGAAACTACTAATAAACTACAGACATTCATTAACTGGTGCCTGTGCAGAATAGAGGGAATTAAATGGTATGGTAGAATCACAAATGTAGAGCTTTGGGAGAGAACTAAGCAAGCTCCAGTGGACCTAGAGGTGAAGAAAAGAAGCTGGCGTTGGATAGGACACCCATTGAGAAACAGGGAGAACAATATAACTAGAATGTCTTTGCATTGGAACCCACAGGGGCATAGGAATAAAGAAGGCCAAAAAACACATGGAGAAGGGAGCTGGAGAATGAAGTTAGAAAGATGGGGAGGACATGGGCAGAGCTGCATGCGACAGCAAAGGATAGAGCGACTTGGCCTGAGCTGGTTGAGGGCCTATGCTCCATTGGGGGCTAGAAAGGCAGAAGAAGAAGAATATTCAAAAGGTTTGATTATGGTTACAAACCTGTTAACCAAGAAAAGAAACTGACTACCCCTACCATAGGAATTGAAGAATGATGATGATAAAAATAAAGCCGAACATCCCTGATAGCAGGTTCATCCTTCTCATAAACATTACTTTGAATACTATTCCTGATTTTTGTTTTAATAGTATTCTTTATCCTAATTTTCTGTGTGTAATGTGAATGGTGCTATGGTTGATTAAAAAAACAATGCGAGCACAAATTCACATTTCAAAGTGTTGCTTTATAACATCTTTCTTGACTGTGTTGTACAACACAGGAAACAAAGATACACATAAAAGAAAGCATATCTATCACTGCTTCTTTATGTTTGTTTGATCATAAAGTATACATTTTTTGCATGGTTTAAAAAAAAAAAACAAGGGTGCAGTGAACCAAAAAGATTAACAAGTAAATGGTTTCGAACAGTGGTCTCTCTCAAAATTACCCTTTAAAATTATGATGACTAAATAAAAGCAGCAAAGGGCCAGGGATAGGTTAATTTTGTCCCATGCAATGCACCATACACGATCAGCTGTTCTCCATGCGTATCTAGTAGTAAGTGATCTGTACAGTTTGGTTTCAGCATACCAAAGAAATCTGGGAGATATGTTACAACATAGCACAGTCTGTGACACCTCTTTGAAAGTAATACCCTGGATTGCTGGCTGTGGTTATCCTCACCTCAGGACACTTGTGTGAACTTTTACAAGAAAATAGTAAACTTCCTCATTCCCTGGGGTAGCTGACCAGATATTTAACCTTCCAAAATATTTGCTGTCCATCTATGTCATGATCATTAATATTCTGGAAGTCACATTCTGACACCTGACAGTTTACTCTGGGTTTAATGCCAAAGACATTCTTGACATTACTGATTGCTATTTCTGCAATGAATAAAATTGACTTACGTCAAATGATAACCCACGCCAAATTTATTTTTCAAAAACAGTGACGATCCACAACAGCATAGCCTGCCTCCTCTGATAAAGGCCTTTCTGTCTGTATGGAAAAAATGAAAATGGAAAGTCAGCATTTCAGTAAGTGACTTTTTTTTTTTTTAAATTCATACTTTAATATGAAAGAATTTACACTGTTCTTCACCCCTTTGTACCCCTACAGATCAGGAAAATAGGAGAAATATTGTGTGGACTGGCTGAAGGCTAAGATAGAATTAAAAACAAATGTAGACAGAAATCAATAAATACTTCACTGTCTCTGCAACAGAAGATGGCTGCAGTGCCTCCAATGCTATGTTTGGGATAATTACATGGTGAGGTCCTGATCTCTGTTATGTTGTAACTCACCTACCATTGTCTGAAAGCCATTAAAACTGCCATTTTCCAAACTGCCAGCGGCAGCAATAAAACCTCAGTTTGTCGAAAACTGGATTGTGACAAAAATGTCATTACTAGCTGGGCCATAGAGCTGCACTCAATGTAGATAGCATTTTATGTATTAAATTCAATGTTTTAAAATTTAAATATTTTGAATTTGAAATGGTAAAGAACAGAAAAAGAGGGCTGGGGGGGATAGGAAAGGAGAAAGAAAGAAACAGGCAGTGGATGGAAAAGAATTAGGAAAAACGAGACGAGACTGAAAGACAAAACGGTAAGGAAGAAGGAAGAGAGGCATAGATCTAAAATGTGTCCTCTAGCAACCTCTACTTCACTTATTATTGACATCCTACATCACCCACCTGACTGTCAGACTGCAATGATGTTTTACTGTCTGCTACATGTCCCAGCTTCAATATCTGATCACTACTAAACCAAATACCTGCAAGGATGTCAGCCTCATCCATAAAATGAGTGGTCAATAGAACCACCTTTCCCTCCTTTATTCTCTTCAGTAGTGACCACAAGTGGCGGCGTGAGAGAGGGTCCAAGCTAGAGCTGGGTTCGTCCAGAAAAAGCAACTAGCAGCAATGAGAAAACAAAAACAAAAAACTATGAACTTAGACGTGATGATTTTCATGTGTTTTTATGTGTGTCATCTGAACTTAAATGCTCAAGAAAATTTTTACATTATCACAGATCAAGAAGAATGACATTAGAGATGTCAGGCCAAAAGGCCCAAGTATCAAAGCCTAGCTGTAAACTATAACAATCCACCTGTAGCACCTTATGAAAGGCCTATTTTGCCAATCATTATAATTATTTGTTTCTTGGTTTGGAGACTGGTCTGGTAGTCTTAGTTTCAGCTTCATAGCAAAGGGTCACCCCATCTTTGCTCTGCTCCTGTGCCAACGAAAAACACCCAGAATGTTTATCACAGTCCCTTGTGTAAAGATTGACAGACTGTTGTCTCAGCATATGTAGCATACACACGCATTAAAGCATGCGGTAGCCATCCGAAGTGCTAACACAAACAGTCCGACATTAGAAATGCAGTTCATGGTAGCAGAAGTCACCAACAGATCAGCAGATGCCCGCGCGATCAATTTTAATCACATACGGGCACCACCAACATTGCGACGACAAGCATCGCGCCATTTTCTGAATCTACAATTCACACCACCACGTTGGTCACAGTCGAAAAAACATTCCAAATGAAATCCACAGCTTACAGTGTCACGCCATGCATTCAACTCAGAAGCTGAGAGACGAAACTATATCCAGTCTACAAATGGAGCAAAAATGCATCGGCCACCATCCGTCAGAAGCAAAAAATTTACCTCGGCTCCAAACAGTGCCCCTGCCTAGCGTCCACTTTGACCGGAATATGACGAGGTTTGGAGAACTAACAGGTAAGTCCACAGATGCATCTTCTTCAGCTAATGTAACAAGGCATGTAGATGCTATCTGTACCAGGAGTGCAGTTTGTAAAATATGGTATTGGTCCTTTCATATGTCCTTGCAAACTGCAAATTGTGTTTTTACAGATAACAAAGACTTAAACAAATTTTGCATGTGTGCTTGTTATCTTTCTTTCTAAGGGAAGAGTTATTTTGTGTGTTTTGTGTGTGTGTGTGTGTGTGTGTGTGTGTGTGTGTGTGTGTGTGTGTGTGTGTGTGTGGAATGAATCTGTGTACATATGTAAGTGCGCTCTCTCTCCCACTCGCACACACACATGCACGCACATGTGCACACACACGCACACATAATACACACAGACTCACACACCCTTGTGATTGGAAAAAAGCAGACAAAAAAAAAAAGGATACATGCACGAGAATGCAATAAGATGACTTTGACTCAGAAAAGATACATGTCTGCTGTAAGTTACCTTAGGATCCCCAATCAGAGCTATGGCAACAGAAAGCCTCCTCTTCTGGCCACCACTGAGGTTTTTAGCAAAGGTTTCACTCTGACTGTTCAGATCCACGTCTGCCAAGGCTTGCTGCACCTGAGAATGGAACAAAACATTAGACAGCAACAATGTGTCAATCATAGAGTAGAGCACAATCATAGAATCAAACATTAGATAGCAACAATGTATCAATCACAGAATAGAGCACTATCATAGAACCAAACATTAGAAAGCAACAACGTGTCAATCATAGAATAGAACACAATCATAGAACCAAACATTAAATAGCAACAACATGTCAATTACAGAATAGAGCACAATAACAGAACAAAACATTAGATAGCAACAATGTGTCAATCATAGAAAAGAGCACAATCATAGAACCATACATTGGAAAGCAACAACTTGTAAATTACAGAACACAGCAAAACCCTGGAACCAAAAACAAGATAGCAAAAAAATTGTCAATCAAAAAACACAGCACAATCATAGAGCCAAACACAGGACAGCAAGAAATTATTAATCACCGAACAGAGTAAAATCAGGGAACCAAGCATTTGATAGCAACAACTTATCAATTATAGATTAGAGCACAAATTTCTCACTAACATTAAGCTGTTAAAAAAGAAAGAAAAAAAGATGAATGTTATCATCAGCATAATGAAATGAATGGGGTGGTCAGTGTCCTCCCTCACCACATTAAAAAAAAAAAATATCTGGCAGTGGTTTCAGGAAGATAAATTATCAAAACAGCTGCACTGGTTAGAAATGATAATGTGATTACCAATGACTGAATAATATACTTATCTCTGTTCAGAAATCATATATATAAGAATAGACACCATAAATATATTTATTGATGTATTAACTTTTCAGGCCCATGAATTTTGACAGACTTGGCCCACATTAATTTCCCTTTACAAAAATGGCAGAGGGGTGGGTGTACAAGAACGGCTTTAGAGAATGTAATATACTTCTAATCCCTATAAAAGTATTTATTTTTTTACAGAGAAATGAATTTACATTTTGAATCTGATGATAAGTGTTTGTTTTATTTTGTTATAGTTAGTAGGAAAGAAGAATTCAGCAGGTGTTAATTTCACAAGGACATTTCACAAACAAATTCTTCACTTACCATGGTTTGGCAGCAAAAGAATAGTGAATATCCAAATTTAAGAACAAAAATTCAAAGTTTGTTCAATATCCTAACATATTACAAAGTTATGATAAGTTTCTGGGTTAGTTTAGCACTCAGGAGCTCTTAGCTCTCACAGAATGCTGAGTAAAATTTCAGAGAAAAAATGGCAGAAAAATGAGCCATTATGCACATACTATTTACTATTTACTTTGTACAGTTATTTACAGACTGTAGCTGCGATGATTTCAATGTAGCTTAGCCATAGTATAGTACAATCTATTTGTTTAGACCACTTTCCTTCTCTTACACCATAAATATGGTACTATGGGACATTGTTTGTGTAATAAACACATCCGAATCGCTAGATACCGAACAGCTGATCGCTCAGCTTCGCTGGTGAAAATTCACCGTCTGAATCACTTTCTGAAAACCTAAATTTTTATTATCATTATCACAATTAAAAACATTTGACTGAAATAATTTCTGAGCTTTGGCCACAGAAAGACGCATTCTGCGACCTGTACTTGTGGTTGGAACATTGGTATTCATGGCACTTAAAAACGAACTTAGAAAACACAATGTTGAAAAAAATGTCGGTTATTTCTATCAAATTATGCACGTGTTTCTTAGGCTAGGAAATGAAACTAAAAGGATTTCGACAGAGTGACTTTCCCTGAATAGTTTAATCGTACCTCCGAACATTAGAAACTAGTATAGGAGGTGTGTGCGAAACAAAATGTACGGGACACACGATCGTTTGGGCAAAACGGAACTTCTCAAACAACGCTCACACTGTTGCTTGGGCCTTAAAGAGTTGAAACTAAAATAAAAAGGGACACCACATTCCATTTACAGATGTTTTAATGAAATGAGAAGGGACATCATACTTTATTTACTTTGCATTAATGAGACAAGAAAGGATGCTGAATTCCATTTTAAGATGTATTATTGACATTAGAAGAGACACCAGATTTTACTTACTGTTGTATTAATGAGATGAGAAGGTACACCTTTAATGTTTGCAAATAACTCAAGATGTTCCTTGCAGGACAAATCATCACAGAGAATGTTGTGCTGGGGACAAATGCCACACTTTTTGCGAATCTGCTCCAAATCGCCCGTTCGTGTTATGTCCTGCAGAAATGAACAGAAAAACCATAATAAAGCACACAATAAAGGGCTCCAGCAAGATGTTGCCCGCAACAAAGAAATCACAAAGTTATTTAAAATGTCATGTTCTAGTGGGCAGCAGAAGCAATCCTGGTCCTCCATAACCATGTAGTCTACAGAAGATTACTAAATGATCCTCCTGTGTGACACTGCTAATCCAACATCTTCTCCCTGTCAACATCTTCCACTAGCACCCACAATGTTCTCAATGAGGACCTCCTGGACATACACTGACAGATGCTTAGATTTCAGACAGATTATCAGGTATACACTAGGACATCAACAACTGAGATGATTTTGGTTAGCTAATCACATAAGCAGGTCAGTTAATCAGTTTCAGAAGTGGAGCCTTGTCACAAAGAGGCTGGCCCCATCATGGTCTTCAGCAATGGGGGAATCACTGGCACTGAGGTGACTGTTGCTAATTTTATGTGTATTAGTGAAAGTCTTATGCAGGACTCGTCATTCAATGCAGCAGATTGCTTTAAGCTGATTTTGACAATGATATATATATAGCATGTTGACCGTTCATACAGCAATGGTGAACCTCTGAACACAACAACCACAAACTGTCAACAAATGCTGGGGTTGTTTTGCAATGTCTTTAAGGATACACAACAAACTTGTATACTTCATTTAGTCAGATACACAAATATGAGGATGTGTTCATTTGAAATGAAGTGATTATGTCTGGACCTAGGAAGCTAATATACCGGTTACTTTTTCATCATCATTATTTCCCTCTTGGCAATCAGATGCAACCTTCAGGAATTAAAGATGAATGTGTCAATTCTCTGCCTTTCAAAAGCCCTTACCCATCTTACACCAAACATGGCCTTTCTATTAGAAGACCTATTTATGAATGGTTATATTGTGTGGCTAAGGTTTTCTATAGGAAGTGGCATCAGCCTACTGTTACCTATTTATGAATGGTTATATTGTGTGGCTAAGGTTTTCTATAAGAAGTGGCATCAGCCTACCTTTACCTTCTTTACTGTCTCTTACAACACATTTTTAAGGTAAGGATTTCACTTTTTAAAAATCCCTTCATGAACTGTAGAACTATCTGTGTGGCATATTATGGTTTTAAGAACTGACATCACAGCATTCCAGGTAAGCCCACAGATGCACTATCTTGTTCAGCAAATGTCCAAAGCTGAAGAGGATAACTGCACCAGCAGTAAGTACACTGGTTGTATAATGTGATTTTCCTACTCTCATTTGTCTCTCCTGGGCGGAGTCAAACCTAAATCCAAAACACGCCATCTTAAATAAGCTGTTTCAGTTATTTATTTACAATTTATCATATTTATACCTAGATTATAATGATATTTTGTTGCACATTTTCAGTGGTTTCTAGCAACTTGGTATACAAAAATAATTTAAACTGATATTTCTAGTTTTCGCCTGCCAACCCAAAAGTCTTTGGTTCAAATCTGCACAAGGAAGGAAAAAAAACTGACTTTGTTGCCCAAGTCAGCCAACAATGAAATGGACACCAGGAAAGATCTTGTGAAGCAACGATGGCAGGTGTGATGTTGTTTAATCACCCACTGAGTGCTGACTGGTCTACAGAAAGAAAATGTGTGACCACAAGACTATGGGCATAAATAATATATTGCTAGTCCTAATCAAGATATGGAAACCATGCTGGAGCAGTTATTAGCACACCTGCCTGCTGACACTGTGGTCATGCTGTCAAATTCCTACCAAATCATGTATTTTTTTCTTCCTTAATCTGTGTTCCTAAGGCTGATACAGGATATAATGGGTAGCAGGAAATTTCCAGGTAAGTAAGGGCATCCAGCGTGTTACTGATATCCAAATGAGTGTCAGTCAGTCTAAGCATATGAGGCTAGTACCATATACGCCCAACCCCCTGAAGGCATGGAAATAGGTAAAAGAAAATAACTAGGATGCAGCAAATCCATGATTCTGAACAGCATCTATACCTGGCTGGGGTTATATTTATGATCTAGGTTGGTAATGTTTTAGTAATTAGTTTTCTGCATACTTTAAAGTCCAGAAAGAAACAAAAGGGTTAAGAAAAGAATGCTATCTATGGAGTAACTCATAAACGTATGGCACAAATTTTTGTATAAAAGTTAGCAAATATTACTTTCGTCTGTTTAAAAATAGTTTCCAATGAAAAACATTTCTATTCTTCAAAGAAGTGAAAAACCTGGACTTACGTAAGACTACAACACTAAAGCACATGATGCCTAAAGTATTTGCTTTGTCAAATCTTACCAAGCCCAGGATGTGTGCACTGCCAGACGTTGGGGCAATGACTCCAGTTAACATATTTATCAGGGTTGTCTTGCCTGCTCCATTATGTCCCAACAGACAAGTGATCTGGCCTTCATAAATATCCAGACAGAAATCTGTACAAACAGTAAAGTAAAGGCAACTGTAAGATAAAACAGTCACTGACACAGGGTTAAAGCCTGTAAATGCCAGTATTGCACATTCTCAGGTTTGTTCTCGGCATTACGGCGTTGGTCAGTTCACTGCTATGCCTATATAACAGCTTTAGTACTTTTTGTGACTGCACTGTACATAAATGGGCAGGGTATAATTGTATTTATTTAAAAAAAATAAGGAGAAATATATAAAGAATTTTGGGGTTGAAAATTCCAACCCCCCCCCCCCCCCCCCCCCCTTTCCACCCTTCCACATCAAAAAAAAAGTCATTATGATGTCAATTTTTGCCACATAGCTATGTGAAGAAGAAATATTTTTTGCTGACCAAAGGGGATCATCTTCTTTGTTCACCAACTGTAAGCTCCGGTGGAAAATCCTGATTGTTTGTACAATTGGACTCTGGCTTTGTGCCAGGGTCTGAGTTTTGCATTTACATCCGTTTTACAGGCTTATCTGTGTGCAGTTGCAAATTACCAAGACTCCCAATTTGTTTCAGCTTCTTCTCTTCTTCTGTTCCTCTAGTTTCTTAGTGAAAAGTCTTAGAGAATTATAAAGATGTGTTTATTTCTTAAGACATTTGTGAAAAAGTCATTTTTTTTTAATGATCTTTATGTGGTCAAATGGCCATCTTTTAGAGCTAAGATGAACATGAATAATAGGAAACTGGTGCTATATCTGCAAATAAAACAAAGCAAAGCCAGCAAATGATCCCAGGTGCAAATATCCTTTTAGATAAACTGCAACAAAATCTTTTATTGCAAAAAAAAAAAAAAAAAATCTCTCTTCTCATTTTATTTGTAAACCAAATTTTAAAAACTGAGCACATGTCATCATTCTGTACCATGTTTAAAATGAGTAGACAGTCATCATCCTCAACTGCACATGATCATCATAGCTTCTGGCTTGTAGAGGTAAACTGACTATTATCGTCATAGTCTGTGGCTTGTGGAGATTATAAACTGACTAAATGTCATAGTCTATGGCTTGTGGAGATGACTATATGTCATAGTCTGTGGCTTTTGGAGATTATAAGCTGACTATATGTCATAGCCTGTGGCTTGTGGAGATTATAAACTGACTATATGTCATAGTCTGTGGCTTGTGGAGATTATAAGCTGACTATATGTCATAGTCTGTGGCTTTTGGAGATTATAAGCTGACTATATGTCATAGTCTGTGGCTTGTGGAGATTATAAACTGACTATATGTCATAGTCTGTGGCTTGTGGAGATTATAAAACTGACTATATGTCATAGTCTGTGGCTTTTGGAGATTATAAACTGACTTTATGTCATAGTCTGTGGCTTGTGGAGATTATAAACTGACTATATGTCATTGTCTGTGATTTGTGGAGATTATAAACTGACTATATGTCATTGTCTGTGATTTGTGGAGATTATAAACTGACTACATGTCAGAGCTTGTCACTTGTGGAGATTATAAACTGACTAAATGTCATAGTCTGTGGCTTGTGTAGATTATAAACTGATTATATGTCATAGTCTATGGCTTGTGGGGATTATAAACTGACTACATGTCACAGTCTGTGGCCTGTAGAAATTATAAACTGACTATATGTCACAGTCTGTGACTTGTGGAGATTATATGTCACAGTCTGTGGCTTGGGGAGATTATATGTCACAGTCTGTGGCTTGTGGAGATTATATGTCACAGTCTGTGGCTTGTGGAGATTATATGTCACAGTCTGTGGCTTGGGAAGATTATATGTCACAGTCTGTGGCTTGGGGAGATTATATGTCACAGTCTGTGGCTTGTGGAGATTATATGTCACAGTCTGTGGCTTGGGGAGATTACAAATTATTTATATGTCACAGTCTGTGGCTTGGGGAGATTACAAATTATTTATATGTCACAGTCTGTGGCTTGTGGAGATTATAGACTGACTACATGTCAGAGCTTGTTGCTTGTGGAGATTACAAATTAATTACAAGTCACAGTCTGTGGCTTGTGGAGACTATACAAAAACTTTATGTCAATCTGTGATTTGTGAAGTTGCAAATACATACCATTAACTGCCATGTGAACTGTGCCCTCTTGTTTGAAAAATAGACTATCAAGGGCCCGGAGAATTATGCCCTTCTGCTTGAAAGATTTCGTCAACGATAAAATCCTGAGAATTAGTATTTTTTTTTCACAAATTTATTTTGCAAGACAAAAATATAAACTTAAATTCAGTAAATTTCATGTAAGACAACTGAACAACAACTAGTGCAACTTTGCTTACAAGAAGGAAACCTGAATTTGAAAACAGTAGACTCTTATAATCAAGACACTTTCATCTGACAGATCACACATGTAGTTTTTAACTGGAGGTTGGTTGTGTTTACAACATTCTGTTTATCACTGCCACTGTTTCTTTTGTCCATATGTAATTCATAGCAGAACATTTTTAGACAGTTGTTGGTCTGACATGAGGACAAAATAATATGTGGAATATCTTTCATCCTTTTCCATTTAGTTTGTCAGATCTGGGTACCCATCAGCCTTGTTAAGCTATTTGGGTAGGGGTGGAGCAGGCAATTTTAGGGCACCTTTTCTAGCCCCTTCCGTATGTTGTGTAGGTTAACAGTTATGTCCTAAAGAGAGCTGAATAGTCACTCAGAGATTTGCCCAAAGCCACTGCTGCTCTGATCAGTAGAAGACGACTGTATGGTCTGAGCAGCTTGTGTGTAGGTCTGCAGTTATAACTCCTAACCTGTGCATACCTGTCGCTCACCTATCACAACAGGACTTGAAGCTTTGCAGCTTTTTTTTTTAATTAAATGATTGAATCTAAATTTTAGAGATGAAAGTGTTGCGCAACTCGTCGACCTCAACGTCTCATTTGTATTCAACTCCAGTGGCAAAATGAATCAAGAATCTAGAAAGAAGCCCAGGTGCAGTGCTTGACCATGGTTATTTTGTGCTTTGTGATGCTCAAAGATCTCACCAGAGCATGCTGGTAGATGCCTTTCTGTTTACTTAACTGTAGAAGGTTTTTATCTGCACAATCTGCCAAACCCGATCCTACTCGTACATGCAGGGTAGGCATGATCTATTTCAATAATTAATATTAACCAGGTTGGCTGATTTCATCTAGTATAACCAGCACATAAAAGCTGTTTAACAGGAAGTGGCTCCTAAACAACAAATAATAGTAAAATCGGCAGTCACTTTATGAAATAGCATACAACGGAGAGGATTGGGGAGCCATATATGCTAGCCGGAAGAAAGAAAAGACAAAAACACAGAAGTAGGAGGCTAAAGAAAATTGTGATTAGGACAAAAATTAATAGTTCCCCGCTGAACAGCAAAAACAGGAAAGTAAAGAAAAGACAAGGGTTCTTCTGCGCAGGGACCATGAAATCATATATTCTTGGCCCAAACAAAGGATATCTGTATGGTGAGTTACATAACAACAACCTAACTACATGACTACATTCACCTAGGCAAACCAGGTGCATGAACAAGTTCTATCTTTAATCAAGCAACTGGAACTATAATTATCACATTAAACAGCTGTTTATTTTACTGAACTGAACACAAAACTTATCGCCGTTCACACACAAAAACATAACATTAAAAATCATCAACTTGCTAAGCACTTCAGTAATAAAATATCTTTGAGTGATGCTCAGTGGTCAGACTTTTTTGTTCACTTTAGGCCTAAATTAAAAAATCACTATCCCTTCCCTGGCGTCTTGCCACAATATTTAAACCTGGTATAGCCAGCTCACTAAAGCTGTTTCATGGACAATGGCTGCTAAACAACAAAAAGTAGTACAGTCAACAGTCACTTAATGTAACAGCATACAATGGAGAGGATTGGGGAGCATGACCACTATATATGCTGCAGACCAGAATGCCTATAGAAGACAGAGAAGACTGAACAGTCACGATAGCCAATGTCCACTCCAGACAAGGCACACGGAGAAACAAGACAATGCATGTACAGTCACTAACCTCATGGCAACTTTGTCTTCCATGCCCCTGCCAACTGGCTCCACACTGATGAACTTTGATTGACTTTGTTTGGGGCTCAGAAGCTGGGAGCTTTTCATATCAGCTTGTTTCGGACACCAATAGGATGACTGTAGAAAGTACAGAGGATGCTTCCCGACTCTATATTTACCTGTCAGTAACATAATTGTTCGCAATTGATGGTACACAAATACAGTTCTGGAAAAGCGTATGACTGCAACAATGTTGTGAAATCTTTGCCCTGCCATTCCTGATATTCTGAGGTTAGTCAGGGTCCTATTTCCATGTTTTGGAGTGTACTGGGCAACTGGTGCTAGCCTCGTATTTTTATATGCGAACTGCCACTTGATGGGTGATGTGGTCATATTCAAATCCAGCTATCTGAACTTCTCAGAATATTTCCTGTCTATTGGATTAACCTGAAAGCTCAGGTCAATTCTAAATATTCATCGTTTGACCTGACCGCTAGCAGGTCAACAAACTAGCCAGTGAAGTTCGTGTGGTCTGCGTGTACCCCATGATACTCAAATTTTGTATGTTTTTCTCTCAGTCTCCTAACCACGCCAAACTTTCCACAAGGACCTGACAGCTACCATACCTGCAAGACACATGGAGTTAGGTGCACGTTTAGTTGTCCATCTCAGTGTTATCGTGGTTTTTCAGGGATATGATGCCTGTCATGATGGTATTTTAGGATATGGTGCTAGCTGCACATTTAGTTATCCAGTTTCCTGTTATGGTGGTATTTCAGTGATACAGTGCTAGGTGCACATTTAGTTTTCCAGTTTCCCGTTATGGTGGTATTTCAGTGATACAGTGCTAGGTGCACATTTCGTTTTCCAGTTTCCTGTTATGGTGGTATTTCAGTGATACAGTGCTAGGTGCACATTTAGTTTTCCAGTTTCCCGTTATGGTGGTATTTCAGTGATACAGTGCTAGGTGCACATTTCGTTTTCCAGTTTCCTGTTATGGTGGTATTTCAGGAATGCGGTGCTAGGTGCTTAATGAGTTATCTATCTCCATGTCATCATGGTATTTTAGGGATACTCTCTTAGGTGCACATTTAGCTATCCATCACCACGTCATCATCTCATTTAAGAGATATGGTGCTAGGTGCACATTTTGTTATCCGCCTGCATGTCATCACAGTATTTCAGGGATATGGTGCACATTTAGTTATCCATGCCATCAGGGTATTTCAGGTATATGGTGCTAGGTGCATATTTAATTATTCATCTCCATGTTATCATGGTATTTCAGGAATATTGTGCTAGCCAGCTTTTTACAGACCAGCTGACCTTTGATGGGTGAGGTGTAGAAGAATATGTTGGTCACATTTTCCTTCTGAAAATATTTCCTGTTACCCATTTTTAGTCTTGGCCTGGGCAACTAGACTGATATAAATTATCTACCAATGATCAGCAGACAAGTGTCCTCATAGCATTTATTCTCTGTATTAAGCTCCACAATAAAAAATTTAAAAAAAAAAATATGGTTAGGTGACTACACATTTTTCTCTTTGACCTCCCATCCATTTTTGTCTATCTCCAACCTCCAACCTATCCTTGGTCTTTTTCTGCCATCCTACCAATCCTTGGTCACTCCAATCTCCTGCCAATCCTTGGTCTGTCTCCGACCTCCTACCTATCCTTGGTCTGTCTCCAACCTCATACATATCTTTGGTCTGTCTCCAACATCCTACCTATCCTTGGTCTGTCTCCAACATTCTACCAATCCCTGATCTGTTTCCAACCTCCTACCTGTACTTGGTCTTTCTCCAACCTCCTACCTATCCTTGGTCTGTCTCCAACCTTCTACCAATCCTTAGTCTGTCTCCAACCTCCTACCAATCCCTTGTCTGTCTCCAACATCCTACCAATCCCTTATCTGTCTCCAACCTCCTACCTATCCTTGGTCTGTCTCCAACCTCCTACCTATTCTTGGTCTGTCTCCAACCTCCTACCAATCCCTTGTCTGTCTCCAACATCCTACCTATCCTTGGTCTGTCTCCAACCTCCTACCTATCCTTGGTCTGTCTCCAACCTCCTACCTATCCTTGGTCTGTCTCCAACCTCATACATATCTTTGGTCTGTCTCCAAAATCCTACCTATCCTTGGTCTGTCTCCAACATTCTACCAATCCCTGATCTGTTTCCAACCTCCTACCTGTCCTTGGTCTGTCTCCAACCTCCTACTTATCCTTGGTCTGTCTCCAACCTCCTACCTATCCTTGGTCTGTCTCCAACCTCCTACCTACCCTTGGTCTGTCTCCAACATCCTACCTATCCTTGGTCTGTCTCCAACCTTCTACCAATCCTTAGTCTGCCACCAACCTCCTATCTATCCTTGGTCTGTCTCCAACCTCCTACCAATCCCTTGTCTGTCTCCAACATCCTACCAATCCCTTGTCTGTCTCCAACCTCCTACCTATCCTTGGTCTGTCTCCAACCTCCTACCTATTCTTGGTCTGTCTCCAACCTCCTACCAATCCCTTGTCTGTCTCCAACATCCTACCTATCCTTGGTCTGTCTCCAACCTCCTACCTATCCTTGGTCTGTCTCCAACCTCCTACCAATCCTTGGTCTGTCTCCAACCTCCTACCTATTCTTGGTCTGTCTCCAACCTCCTACCAATCCCTTGTCTGTCTCCAACATCCTACTTATCCTTGGTCTGTCTCCAACCTCCTACCTATCCTTGGTCTGTCTCCAACATCCTACCTATCCTTGGTCTGTCTCCAACCTTCTACCAATCCTTAGTCTGCCACCAACCTCCTATCTATCCTTGGTCTGTCTCCAACCTCCTAACAATCCCTTGTCTGTCTCCAACATCCTACCAATCCCTTGTCTGTCTCCAACATCCTACCAATCCCTTGTCTGTCTCCAACCTCCTACCAATCCATTGTCTGTCTCCAACATCTTACCTATCCTTGGTCTGTCTCCAACCTCCTACCTATCCTTGGTCTGTCTCCAACCTCCTACCTATTCTTGGTCTGTCTCCAACCTTCTACCAATCCTTAGTCTGCCACCAACCTCCTATCTATCCTTGGTCTGTCTCCAACCTCCTACCAATCCCTTGTCTGTCTCCAACATCCTACCAATCCCTTGTCTGTCTCCAACATCCTACCAATCCCTTGTCTGTCTCCAACCTCCTACCAATCCATTGTCTGTCTCCAACATCTTACCTATCCTTGGTCTGTCTCCAACCTCCTACCTATCCTTGGTCTGTCTCCAACCTCCTACCTATTCTTGGTCTGTCTCCAACCTCCTACCAATCCCTTGTCTGTCTCCAACATCCTACCTATCCTTGGTCTGTCTCCAACCTCCTACCTATCCTTGGTCTGTCTCCAACCTCCTACCTATCCTTGGTCTGTCTCCAACCTCCTACCAATCCCTTGTCTGTCTCCAACATCCTACCAATCCCTTGTCTGTCTCCAACATCCTACCTATCCTTGGTCTGTCTCCAACCTCCTACCTACCCTTGGTCTGTCTCCAACATCCTACCTATTCTTGATCTGTCTCCAACTTCCTACCTATTCTTGATCTGTCTCGAACATTATACCTATCCCTGGTCTGTCTCCAACCTCCTACCAATCCTTGATCTGTCTCCAACATCCTACCTATCCTTGTTCTGTCTTCAGCCTCACACATATCTTTGGTCTGTCTCGAACATCCTATCCTTGGTCTGTATCTCTATGTGCATTCTTTGGGATATAGATCATACAGACCATAAAGCAATGGATACAAAGAACAAAAAAAAAAAATAGAACACAAACCTGGAAGCACATTATCAAAGTATATCGTCAAAATGGCATACAGGTAGGCATCAACTATCATCATCACAATGGAAGCGTACAGTGGAAACTTGCCATAAGTGAGACCCTTGTTAAAATCGAAGCCATTCTTCAAAATGTCAATGTACAAAGCCTAGAGGAACAAAGAAAACATATGTATTCCTGTATTATAACCACAACAATGCTTGGAGGAATAACACTAAAGAACAGCAATCCAAGTATACTAATATTACCAACTTAAGTACAGCTTAATATGCCTCTCCATTGATGTAAGTTTCAGTACTGCTCTTGCATTCTGCACCAGATTCTGGGCTAAGGCGGGAAAGAAGAATTTTGCAGTACAGTCTCCTTGGAACTGGTACTATAATTTTAATTCTGAATGCCTGTTTTTTTGGTCTCGCATTGTGTCCCCTGCTAGCAGAAATATAGCTACTGGGTAGCGCTGTTGTAATTTCTTATATACAGTAATATAGAAAAACAAGTACTATAAGCACAAAACAGTTGAAACAACTGTAAGTCCTCCTCCCCTTTCCCCCGGAAAAAAAAAGCTGAAGTCTCAAACAATCTTATATTAGCCACTATTTGCTGTCATTAGTATCCTGATAAATAAGATATTTGAGAAAGACCATAAAAATGCCAAAAGAGATAAAATGAGAAATGAAGAGATTGCAAGAACTATCTGAACAAGATCCATCATTAAATTTGCTGAGAAACTTTGACTGAAATGGTTCAGCTGCCTTATGAGAATGAAGCCCCTCATGCTGGCCGCAAGAGCATACAACATGAAACTGGAAGCAACAAAAGGTAAAGGAAGACCCGGAGAAGATGGACTGAAGAAGTAAATGCCAACTAGGCACTTTACAACATGAAAGCATGCCAAGCATGACCTGGCTTGGCTACCAATAATCTGTTAAAACTTTACAACTTTAAACCAAATGTACATTACAAAAAAATTACATACAAAGACAGCAAATCAAATGGTTTGCCCACTTGGAGAGAATGCCTTCTGATGCTATACCATACAAGGCATATACCAAAAGAGGAGAGGGACGTAGAGCAAGAGGTAGACCAAGAATAAGATGGGAAGATAACATCAGAGAAACTCTACAGCACTACGATTTGTCTATGGTTGAAGCAGCCAGAAGAGCACGAAGCAGGACCTTATATCTCCCTCGACACACGAAGCGGTAAAAGAGGACGTAAAGAAGAAGAGAAGAGAAGACAGATGAGAGAAGGAAGAAGAACAATGACTGCTGTAAAAACTTGCACCTTGTGCACCTCCAAACATAAGTAGGAAAACAGCAGTTGGCCAAACATTCTTTGCGGCTGTTCCAGTAGTGAGTTACAAGACCACTCCTATCCCAACCCCACCTATTAAACAGCTACTTTCTCTGTACACCAAATCTAATTGTATTTACCAATTTACATGTAGGTGCCAGTTGACTTACATCGGTCGAACGGAGAGACAGCTTGGAAATAGAGTGGCAGAACACATACCCAAATGGCTACATACACAGCTCAGTGATTCTTCTAGGGTATCGAGACCAGTCAAAAGGAAAGAACCCGCTTCTTTCATAGGATGTCATCTACTTAATTCGGGACACATAATTGACACAGACAGTGCTTTCCGTGTGGTTTACTACACTCCAAACAGGAGACTTTTAAGAATCGCCGAAGCCTTAACAATAAAAATCAACAACCCCCCTCCTTTGTGAGCAGACGGAATTTATCGTAAATTTGAAGTTACCCTGGTAAGTCACGTGACTACGGTGAGCTTCCGGCGGCCATGAAACAGAGACAATGTATTGAAGAAACAATTCGCATTTCAGTTGAATTTATTCAGTTTTGTGCTTTATTTTATGTTGATGTAACTCTGTAGTAACGCACCTGATAAGATACAGCAAAATATGCCTGGCAAAAAATTATGCAATGTATTGTTTGTATCTGCATTATTTAAATAAGTAGGAGCGCCAAGAAACAGATTATAAACAGCATATTCATGTGAACACTGTGCTACCAGTGCCAAAACTGGACATTAGTTAGTTAGTTGGGTTATCATCATTGCACTCCAGACATGTCTATAGGTGCTCAGATCCTCCCCTCAGTATGAACCCCAACGTCCAATGGCTAATAGTACCAGTTCTATGTTGATTAACAAGTTTTCTGGTGTATCTGGTGTGCGTCTCGTTTTTTGCTATGCCCATCTTAATTCCCAAGTCTGCCATTTTGGCGAGTGATGTGGATTCACTGACCCCAAAGCCTTCTATCCTTCCCATTTCTCTAAGGGCATTAATAATATCAGCTTGATTGATCCATATGCTGGGCGTTGGTAGTGATAGCGGATCCAGCCAACCTATCAGCTCTTTCATTTCCATCGACGCCTGCGTATCCTGGAACAAAAAATAAAGGTGACTCCATGCACAGTGGACTTCTGTAATGATTCAAGCCATTGTCTTCGCAGACTTGGACATTATCAAAGGCAAACCTATGTCAAATTAATAACATGTGAAATGAGACACCTGAGAAAAACCGCTAACTCAACCATCCGAGAAAAAGTTGGAAATGATATTATCAAACAAACTAAGAACAACACCATGCAGCAAATTCACTAACAGAAGATCAAATAGTTTCATCGTCTAGTAAGAATGCAGCCAGAACAACTACCAACACAGGCGCTAAATGAAAAGATCTGAAGTGAATCAAGAGCCAGACCTATGATATAGTTTGATGACATTAAAGAGCTTTTACATTGACACATAAGGACAATAATCCATGGATCACAAACTGCACCTCCTCATGATGATAAACAGCAGAGGTGGAAATTGATGATGATGATGATGACAGCATCAGTGCATTAGGCCTCATTCAAAATGCTGACCTTCGTAAGCTGATCAGTTTGCTAAAGGTGGTCAACATATAGAGGTTCTACTATATTTTGCTATGTATATTACCATTTCTACTCCATGGTGTGGGTGTGTGTGCGTGTGTACATACATGTGTGTAAGTGTGTGTGTGTGTGTGGGGGGTAGATAAATGTTCATAACAACTAAATGTAATGTGGCCCCTGGGCAGAACTACAACCCAGATAGCTTCTACATGAATTGTCACTTATTTCACATTTCATGGACTGACTGTCTAGACTGGCCTAGAAGAGTCAACCAGCAAAGATGTTTGTTTTTCTCACAAGTGGTGGCTGAGCCAGAAACCAATCTATTACCACTAGAGGAGTAGGCATGAACTCAAACAATTATTGATACAAACAATTAACCACAGATTACCAACTTCTTTTTCTTCTTCTTTGTTCACCGGCTGTAAACTCTGGTGGAAAGTCCTGGTTGTTCATCCATTTGGACTTCGGCTTTGTGCCAGGGCCTGAGTTTTGTGTGCATATATGTTTTACTGGCTTATTTGTGTGCAGCTGGTTGTTCTTTGCCGCTTGGGCAGATGCACTCCGAATTTGAAGGACACTTCCAATTAATCGACTTCTACGAGACTTAGGAGGCAGAGGGTCTATTCTTGCTTTCCGCATAACGGGGCGCTAGAACTCAAAGGGGGATGATTGCTAACAGAAACAATGTTGTCCTGGTTGCAACTGACGTGTTTATGTTAAAGTTACTTCCAGTGTTGCCTAGCATGATTTTCCTTTTAATTTTATGTTAGTTGTCAGTGAATGTCATCACAATAAATGAAGTATTCAGACAGAAGTATTAACCCTATTATTGCACCCTGGTTGTAAAGCTCCCAGGTCACAGTTCAACCTTTAGTTTGTATTCACAATGAGGTTTAGGGTGTAGAGTATACTGCAGCCTGTCTACTGAATCTCTCACCCTTACCTCTGTGTTAAATGGTACAGTAGCATATTTTGTTATGGTCATTGTTTTTCACTGAAATAAATTCCTACTAGATCAGCAACTCTGTGGTTTTAGGGGAGGAGGCGGGGGGAGGGAGGGGGGGCATTCTCAGCATTTCATGGTGCACTTTCCTAGTGAAGCCTGGCAGTGTTGAAGCTAAAGAAATTTTTTTTTTACAACTTCCGCTAAAAAGGGCAAAGAGTAGGCTGACCGCTAGGTTTTGCTGATGCAAATTCCTTACTTCTAAACTGGGAGTCTAAAGGTTCCGTCACTAAGCAACTGAGCGGAACGCTTGGTGTGATACTGTGAGAAGTGGATTTCAATTGGAATGTGTTTTTTTTGCCTGCAGCGTGTTGTTGACTAAAACTGGGGGAGGTCGATTACGCTAAGAGTGGCGTGTGCTTTTGTGGGTGCTATGCTGGTTTTTGCGACTGACCGTTTGTGCCAACAGTGAGCTGCAGTTCTGGTGTGGGACCATTAGTGTCGGCACATCTGACATCGGTCTGTTGCATTTTTATTCTGAGTGTATAAGATTCAAGATTTTGCTGGGCTGACAAGTTTTTCACTGGTTTTGAAATGGGATAGTGAAGAATATTTGTGTGGTTTCCACTGGCACAGAAACAGATCAGCTATGGGACAACCTGTCTGTGATGATGTTAGAATCCCAACTAACGACTAAAGCAGTACATTCTAATATGCTGTGAGTTAAATATCCTTTACAGGATGTTGCAGAACAAACCCCCAGCATATTTTGGCTGTTGTGGTTTTTCAGGGCCAATTTACGTCCAGTAGTTTGTCTTTATGTAGATCTTCATGCCTGTTTCATTGATTTTAGCAAGGCAAGTGATTGTGTCCAACATCAGCAACTGTGGACTATTATGAGAAGTATGGGGTTTCCATCGCATTTAGTGAGTTTAATTGAAAATCTTTATCATGAACAACAAGCAGCCATCAGAGCAGCTGGTGAAACATCAGATTGGATCGAGGTGCAAAGGGGAGTGAGGCAGGGGTGCATTCTCTCACCATACCTTTTCAATATGTACGCAGAAAATATAATGATAAATGTCAAAAATGACCAGATTTGTGACAGTTATGATTCACCCAAAATTGGTGGCAACCCTATTCCTGAACTTTACTATGCAGATGACACAGTCATCCTTTCAAACAGTGTAAAGGGAATAGAAAATTTAATATTGTCTGTCCAAAAGCACAGTTAAGATCAAAATCTGTTCTTGAATTTAAAGAAAACAAAAATAATGTAAACAGATAAAACTGGCTGCCACCCAAAAATAACAATAAATGATGAAGAAATTAAAAATGTCACAAACTTAGTCTATCTAGGCTCTATAATAAATAGCAATGGAGACTGTTCGACAGAAATTAAAAGGAGGATGGCCATAGCAATGCAAAGATTAAACAGCTTTAAAAGTCTTTGGTTATGCACCAGCAAGGAGATCAAAATAAGAATTTTGCATCTTTCCTGTAGCAACATACAGATGTGAATTGTGGACTATCTCCCAGTCCTTAAGAAAAAGAATAGGAGCTTTTGCGCTGAAATGTTATAGAAAGAACTTCAGTTTATTTTTTGTTTTCTTCATTATTCAAGAAACTAACTCCGGTCTTCTCAAGACCCATCTCTCAAAAGTCTCAGCTGAATGCTCCATGTGGTACTGTGTATTACAAGGTACTTAAGGGAAACAAAGAATAGTAACTTTAAACCCAATCCTGCATGTCCAATGATGTGATAAAGGAGAGAAGAGGGTGAGACTGGCTTTCCTCATCCCACAGAAATCTGTAGCTGTGTAATCCTACCATCGTAAACAAATCTATAAGAGACTTGGTGTGGGTTGATTGTGAGAGACTGTTTTATTGGGAGAGGAAAGACAGAAGAAGACAAGGGCTATTATTCTGTAGATGTGACATGAAAGTGTTTAACAACTCTAGTGGTAATATGAGACTGAACACAGATTTCCACTGACCTGATCTATAAACATAGCAAAAGCTACTGGTGACAGGAGACACAGTAACAGCAGGGTAGAGACTGAAAGTCTTGAGTCATTGCTTATGGTATCCTTGGTCTGGCTAATTACTGCATAGATCAAACTGAGCACCAGCAATGCAGAAATCATCACAGATCCTGCAGTTGAAGCTTTGTTGAAGAATGGTGTGATCATGAACGCAAAGGAAATCAAGGAGTTGCCAAACAGGATCATGCAGAGAAACAGGAAGTGTACACTGCTGCGCAGGAAAAAATTGGATAATGAAAATATGGCGACCATGATCGTTGAGGCAACAGTGATCAACATCATGTACACAATGCCCCATGACAGCCTGAAAAAGATAAAAATATTTTTTTTTAAAGGGGCAGTAAGAGTACACTGAAAATATCATTAGTGAAACCTTGCAATCCTGTTTTTTAATAAGTTATGAATTTATTGATAAATTATTATTCTTGCATAGATGGATAGATAAACAAACCCATCACCCAACCATACCACATTCAAGTCTCTATGCCCCTTCTAAGTGAAAATTAAATCATGTTTTTAATGATAACTAACAGGCAAAATGAAACACAAAGTGAAGAAGAAATGGAAATTGTCAATGGTTTAAATTTGATTTATCTGCAGAGGTTTGTTGCTGAAAACAGATGCTTCCATAAGTGATCTAATCTCCTCCTATAGAACCCACAAGGAAGTTCTCACAGCAGTGCACAAATTATGCAGCACTAGAGAGATTTCAAACTTAAATTTATTAGAACAGCCCATGGTTCAAATATATGTTGCATACTGGTGTTTCCTATTCTGGCATGTATCCTGGGTAGTGGCCTATTGAGCCTGCTCTTTCTGATTTCCAACTGTCTCAATTTCCAGCTCTATTAATCAGTCAGCAAGTCCTTCGCAGAACGTCACTCTTTTCACGGCACACCTGAAAGTATCCCTTTCTCTAGCCAGCTCTTCAGCCACATGAGCTTTCCATGTCCTGTATCCATCTTTGCGGAGGTTGACCCCTGCCTGGCTTTCCACAAACTGCACCCTCCATCACCGTCTTGTCCAAGCCACCAAAATACTTCAACTTTCAGGACAGGATGCTGTTTATGAGCCAGTTGTCCTTGATGTTTAATTTGTGTGGAACGTTGATGTTTTTCTTCTTCTTTATCCATGGTATTCTGAGAATTTTTCTTAACATTTTAATTCAAAAGATCTAATGTTTTTTTTTTTCAGTGACTAAGTGAGAGTCCAGGACTCACAAACATATATTACTACAGGAAAATGCATGATCTCAGGATTTTTATTTAACTAATTTATGGATGCTTTGCCATAGGTTTTTCATTCTGTTTAATCTCTGCATTGCTAATGAAAATCTTCTTCTGACTTCTTTCGAGCTGTCTTCGCTGTTGTTCACTAAAGAGCCGAAGTATTCTAAATCTGTGACATTTTCTACTTCTTCACTTTCAATTGTGTTAAATGGTTGGTGTGCTGTATAGCAACTTTTAACATGTTTTTTTATGAAGCAGAGATAGAAGGACACACTAGACAACATACAAATGTAAAGCTATGTTACCGTGCCTGGAAATGAACCTGTCACCTACAAATGGCATGTACACCTCACTATGAAAACAAGTGTACTAAGAATATGACTAACTAAGCACCCCCCATACCCCCTCCCAAAAGGTGTCTTTATTGGTCATGTCTACTGAACAATTTGAAATCCACAACTATAGAATATGGACAGAATTCATCTCAAACCACCGATGTGGCACCATACATTACAGAAATTTATATTAACCAAGCATAGGTCAAATAATTTTTAAAAAAAACAACAACAATTACAAACAAATCGAACCATAATGCTGTGACTAGAATACAACAATAATTTAAGAAAGAGATCTGATTGCTTGGTTCCCTTGTGTTACATGTGACTGCCATAAATTGAGGCCACATAAGTTTTATTTATATATATATAAAATATATATATAATATATATATATATATATATATATATATATATATATATATATATATATATATATATATATAATACAAATCAAACAGACAATCTACTGATTGGCACTCATAGAAAGATGTGGTGGTGTCTTGTTGGAGAGCCAACAAGATGCATAACCCTCGCTGACAGTGAGCATCTCACTAATATTAAAGTAGAAGAGATTCAGCCAAGAATGTGACAATTTCACCCCCCCCCCCCCCCCCCCCCCCCCCCCCCCCCCCCCCCCCCCCCCCCCCCCCCCATCTGTGTAATCTTAGCCTTTTCCACACGTTTAGGCGTATATGGCATATAAGGCTAGACCTATTTTTTAAAGATCAATCGTCACAAGATGGGTGATGTCGTCAGCATCACGTCGGCTGCCTCTACTTCCCGGGGCTGCTCCCGGTACCCACTCAAGGCTGGGTCAACCTGGGAGCCAGGGTCATTTTTGAAAAAAGTCTGGAATGCCCATTTAGGTAAACTGAAATTAATCATGAATATAACTGAAACAATTTATAAAATGTTTTAAAAGCAGAAATGTCTTACCAGAATACGGAGTTTCGAAGTCCCATCATCATCATTCCATCCTTAATTTTCTTTTCCTTTTCTTCAACAATGTTTACTGCCAAATATGTGGGTATGAAAGCGAAGGATACAATTAACGTAATGGCTGTCACGATCTGGATTCTGGTGACATCTGGTGAGTATTCACCTCTATCCATCATCTGCACACTAATTTTCCTTGACCTGATCCCAGAAGAAATACTCAAGTTCTGAAACAAGAACCAATATCAGTCATCAGTAAAACAGTAATGCCCAAACTTAGCAAAACAGTACATTTCAATAGCCAGCTCATATCACATTATTCAGTCCAGTCACTGGTACAAAGTGTCTGAATTCATCATTCTTCATTTACAGACTGAATCCATCATTCTTTATTTACAGACTGAATCCATCATTATTCATTTACAGACTGAATCCATCATTCTTCATTTACAGACTGAATCCATCATTCTTTATTTACAGACTGAATCCATCATTCTTTATTTACAGACTGAATCCATCATTCTTTATTTACAGACTGAATCCATCATTAATCATTTACAGACTGAATCCATCATTATTCATTTACTGACTGAATCCATCATTCTTTATTTACAGACTGAATCCATCATTATTCATTTACAGACTGAATCCATCATTATTCATTTACTGACTGAATCCATCATTCTTTATTTACAGACTGAATCCATCATTCTTTATTTACAGACTGAATCCATCATTCTTCATTTACAGACTGAATCCATCATTATTCATTTACTGACTGAATCCATCATTCTTCATTTACAGACTGAATCCATCATTCTTCATTTACAGACTGAATCCATCATTCTTTATTTACAGACTGAATCCATCATTCTTCATTTACAGACTGAATCCATCATTCTTCATTTACTGACTGAATCCATCATTCTTCATTTACAGACTGAATCCATCATTCTTCATTTACAGACTGAATCCATCATTCTTCATTTACAGACTGAATTCATCATTCTTCATTTACAGACTGAATCCATCATTCTTCATTTACAGATTTATGGCTCAATCTTTATCTTGGTGAGATGATGTGTTGATTTTCTCTTGTTTTCCACATTCAAACGAATGGTCTGTGACCTCCAAATGAAGCGTCGCTATGGGGACCAAGATAGGACCCAGCTATGCCTGCCTCTTTATGGGGCACCTTGAGCAACAGATACGTCATGCATATACCGGCAAGCTCCTCGAGCTCTACAGGAGTACATTGATGACTGCATCGGTGTCACCGATATGCCCCTACAGGAACTGCAGAACTTCATTAATTTTTTCTCTAACTTTCATCCCAGCATCCGATGCACTTCTAGCATCTCACCTTCGTAGGTGCATTTTCTGGATCTCACTGTCACCGTGAACTCTATAGGACTTGGCACCTCAGTGTACTACAAGCCTACTGATTCCCACGCTTTCCTTCTCTACACGTCCTCCCATCCTTCTTCTTGCAAGGACTCTATTCCGTTCTCCCAACTTCTACGCCTCCGCAGCCTATGCCAGGAGAATTATGACTTTTACAACAAGGGTATCCTGAACATGTCCTATCTGCCGCCTTTCACCGCGCATGGTCTTTCCATCGTGCCGAACAACAGACCTATCCTTACACTTACCTACCACCCTTACAACATCCGCGCTAAAAATATTTTCCTCAGGCATCTCTCCATCCTTTGGGCCGACCCTGCTACCAGCACGATTTTCTCTGAACTTCCTCTAGTGGCCTACAGGCATGATCGTAACCTCAAGGACATTCTAGTCAAGAGCAGGTTACGTCCCGCGTCTGAGCCCCACTTCGGCACGGTCTCTTGCCACAGTTTTGTATGCAGAACCTATCCATATGTGGTCCAGGTGGCTAGTCTAGAATTCCCAAATGCCACCTTCCACATACGTGAAGCATTCTATTGTACCAGCCGCAATGTCATTTACGCCATCAACTGCAAAAGATGTGGCATAAAAATACATTGGTGAAACAGGTCTACCGCTGGCCGACAGGTTCAGACAACATCTTCTGGATGTGCAAAATGGTGCTGTGAAACCAGTACTGTTGCACTTCAATTCCCAGGATCACCAAGGTGTCCTCGACATGGAGGTGACAGCCATTAAATCCAGCCATTCCAGTGACAGAGTCCGCAAGTCTCTTGAGAACTGCTTTATTTATACTCTGGGGACTTTAACACCCTCCGGACTGAACTGCCAACACAGTTTTATTTAAACTCCTAGGGGACTGAACTGCCCTCACAGTTTTATACTAAGTGATTTTGTGTTTCTATGTAGTATTGTTTCATTTGTATGTGCTGATAAAGGCTCAATAGACGCAACATTCCCGTTGTTTGTATTTGTTATATTGTGAAGCTTGCTTATATACTTTTCGTTCGGGTTTATATATTTTCTCCAAATTAAGCGAGTGCCTGCTTCTTGCAGGCAGTCCTTAGAACCTGGTTTCCCATTCTCTGAGAAGGATGGGGGGGGGGGGGGGGGGGGGATTTCTAGTGGATATGCACATACTTTAACAATTTTCATCCATAATTCCTCACCATCAGGAATATGTTTTCACATTACTATGTGTATTCATATAACTGCTGGAAACATTACCCTTCTACACTTTAAACCTCACTATATACACATGATAGAGTTTTAAATGGAATGACTGAGTGCAAATTTCAGAATATAGCCTATATGTGAGATCTAGTGTCATTCATGCTTGTGGTATGATAAATAAGACACCAAGTGATACTGAATGAGATATGACTATTCCCATTAATCAGCTTTAAAGTTAGCAGGCTCACAATGTATGAGTGTAAACCATGATAAATGGCAAAAAGCGTAGCCATAACTGAGACCAGCCAAGGCGAGTCTGCAGGGTCAAAGTGTGGCTAGACTGGCGCGACACATTGGCAGCAAGCGGGGAAAGGTGATAAACAGGAGCGACCCAAGGTCACATGATGTTCTGCTGCCTGGATGCCAGTGGTGGCCATTTCCAGCATCTGCTTTGATGTAACCCACTTCACATGAAGTAAGGTAGTCCAGTCCAAATTTCACTGCCATATCTTTTTAGTGTCTGAGTTATTGAATGAAATGCTGGGTTCATCTTGAGTGAAACACCCAATATATTGCTATTACCGCCACTCAATAATATGCCTGTCTGTGTTGAATGTTTATGAGAACTACATGCAGTGTGGCAAGTCAGACAGCCTTTTCATGGACCATCCATTATTTTCAGTTCCAGATAGAAGATATATAACTGCTCAGCTTGGCTTTAAGAGTCTACATCTGTAGTATGAATTAGTGGTAGCTATATCAGAAACTCAAAGACCAAGAATAACAGTTAAGCACACCATCAATCCTTGCAGCTAATCCAATCTAAGATTCCTTGGTCCCATGATTATTTGTAATTTGTTTGATTTTTTAACTGTCAAAAACATATTTTTCGTCTTCTGCAATTTTATATTTAAACCTTTTAGTGTCTTCGGAGTTAATTATAACTGTAGCATTTTGTCAGTGAACTAGTTGATTACGTAATTAAACATTTAAAAACTAACTCAACAATTAGTCCTAAAATACTCGCCTCAGCAGCCACTGCACTACTCCTTTAACCAGTTTAGTTATGGATAAAAGTCTCCAGGCGGAGATTCATTGATTGTGGTTTTCTAGCAGAGATTCATTGATTGTGGTTTTCTAGGTATTTTTTCTAGGTATGCTGTCTGCCAGTAAGGTTTGTCTGCATTACTTTTTAATCTTGAGTAGCCTCTTAGGGCTCAGTCATGGACAACTTCTTGACAACAATATCTGGATGCCCATCAGTTTTTTTTTTATCTCAGGAGAACAGAGGAAATTTCTATTCTTTCACCCTTTGTAGATATGACCTACAGGGTTTGCTCAGTATAGGAAATCACAATTGTTAGCGTATCCAAAAATCCTCTTTGTTACACTCTAAAACTATCCAATGGTATTTAAAAATTGTCTTTCTTGCACTGAAAAACTATCTAATGGTATTCTAAGACAATATTGTTGTACTGTGAAACTAATTACTGGCATTCAATGATCATCTTTATTGCAATATGAAACTATTTACTGGTATTAAAGATCCTCTCTGTTGCACTTTGAAACTATTTACCAGTATTCAAAGATCATCTCTGTTGAATTTTAAAACTATGTATTTACTGGTCTTCTTCTATCTCTACTTCTAGAATGCCTCGCTGCATCAGGGCCTGAAGATATTTCTGGAATAGGCCATTCTGTTCACTTCATATAAAGTATTTTTTCAGTTGTCTCGAATATTTCTGAGGTACATATTCTGCGTGGTTGACCTCTGGCTTTGTTACCACTGTGTCTGTATAACATTTCTCTCTGTGTCGCCCTGTCTGATGACAGTACTGTTACATGGCCAAATCATTTTATCTGTTGTCTAATAATAAAGTACTGCCTTTGGGCTGACTCTCCTCCTGATATCATGTTTCCTAAGTTGATCTTTCCTTCTTATGCCTAGCATAATACCTCCACAAGAGGTGTCAGGTGAAGTTCCAGTTAAGATTGATTGTGTTTCCCAACCATCTAAGAAAAAAGAACATAAAAATAATACAGCTTTACAAGAACATTCTAGTTTGGGAACTAAATTAACAGAAAGATAAACTTGACCCGTGACAGGCAGTAGCGGGGTATGACTCAGTGCATTCGACGGGCAGAATACAGCAGCCACTAAAATGCAACATAAGCAGTGTTAGAAACTGTGCGTCACGCTCTAGTGAGTAACAACTGTGTCCTTCCGTTTGCTGAAGAAATGGGGAGTTAGCAGAAAACTACGCTAATAATTTATTACAAATTTCCAGCCGACAGTGTCCACAAACATTTCCAACAGGAAAAGAGGGACAGTTTTAGTCAAGCAGGGAAAGGCAGCCATTCAATTTCATACAGCTAGACACAGTGGGAGAATCAGAAGTTAGTAACACAGTCCAGAGTGTGTCCAGATATCTTGAATGTCACATCACCAAGCACCACTCCTTTAACCCTTTGATTTCTTCCCTCTGTGATGTCATGGAGAAGAGTATTGTATTCAGATGTATTTAACTGTAACATAGAGGCATACCCCTGTGTATATACAGGGAATCTTCTATCTAGTTTGCACTTTCCCTGGATGGCAGAGCCCATAGCATTCATGCATAGAAACTGCTACTAGCACACAGCAATTTGTGGCTAAATCTAGTTACAAAGGGAGATCATATTGGTACATAGGAATACACTAACTTTAACCCGCTAGGAAAGAGATGAGGGTGGAATTTTGCAAGATAATTTTACCGTTGTCTTTCAAGCAGCCAAAACATAGCTGTGTGGCAGAACTGACTCCAGTCATATCTATCTCCAGTTGCTGAAAAGCCAATGATAGATCCCTTGTTTGTTGTGGCAGGACTTCCAGAACACTACCTGACTGATGATTGGTGATTACTGAGGTGCCCAGTGGAAATATCTTTGTCTTTGTGTAGTGACTAATAACCAGTGTTCCACAACATGTTCAGATGAAGATCCTTGAACCATAGATGGTAATTGTTGTATGTCCCAAAAGTTCTCACAATCCTCTCCCTGTGACAGTCTCATTTAACATTTTTTTAACATCATCTTTTTTTTTTTTTTTTTTTTTAATGTAGAGAAAACATAGTAGCTGATATTATTTCTTTAATAAATCAATGTGTATTATCTCCAACCCTAGTCACTGTTTCTAAACGTTTGCATGGTATCAGTTTACATTAGATGGGGGTTAATTTACAGAAACAGGAAGGTACTGACAGGGAGGCAACCTGCAGTCGAGGATTTTACCTTCTTATAATAAAATTCATTTAGATCTCTGAACGCCTCTTTCCTTCTCCTGAGTCAGCTTAACAAACTTCCATGAGCTAATTCAAGACTGTATATGTGTATCAAGAGGCAGCTGTCTTGGTTTCTCAGTTGGATCAGAGGCGAGGATTTAAAACCCATACCCAATACCAGTTTCAGTAAACTAAAAAACTGTTCTATGACACAGATAACATATCGTTGGTAAGAATATTGTGCCGAAGAGTGCTATTTTAGGGCTCATATTCATGTGCTTGTATTTCAGTAATGTACCATTTATCCCACAAATATTTGGATACTTTGTTCACAAACAGTTTTGGTAAAGAAGACATTGAAAAAAAAAGCTAAATTGCAACAGAGAGGCACACTCAATATCGGTATGGAAAGCTTGCACACACTTCAGAGCAGAGGCAGCAAATCTTTTAACTGAGCAGACTCCGAGTAGTGCAGTTTATTTTAAACAAAAGGCTAAAAATAAGTCCCCCAAACCACCTAATACTCTAAACAAGACAGCATCCTTGTGAAATTTAAACAAAAAACAATCAAAATTATGTCTGAAACTAGTCCAGCAGCAAATTCAAGCCTACTATGAATCCCTAGAAATGGAAAGGCAGATGAGCATATGAAGGCTACAGAAAACCTTATGTAGTCCCATTTGTCTTAGAGCTTTAAAACACTTAGAGATACTCTTAGAACAGTACATGAAGTTGAACTGGAGAAAAGACCACACTCATTACAGACCACAGTAAAATTACATTTGGTGGGAGCTCTTTAATCATTCTTCACCAGGAGAAGGTTGTCGGGAAGGGGTCACCTGCCCTGTCTAACAATTCATTACTTAAAGTAATCTAGACATCTAAAACTCCTTTACTTCTCCTTTGGGTACCAAGTGCAGCTGTTGTGTATTTACATGACGGGCCAAAAATGGCTGTTTTCTTGAATATCCAGGACTTTGTCTGAGATCAACATAGCTCGGATGATAGTCTAGTTTCTCTGGTGGAGTTGAAGTGTTGAGAGGAAAATTCCTACTCATCACAAAAGCATCTATCCACTTCGGGACCCGCGACACCCAGAAAATGAATTACACAGAACAGTATACCCAGATAATGAATAACACAGACAGAACAATATTCCCAGATAATGAATTACACAGACAGAACAGTATACCCAGATAATGAATTACACAGATGGAACAGTATACCCAGACAATGAATTACACAGACAGAACAGTATACCAAGATAATGAATTACATAGACAGAACAGTATTGCCAGATAATGAATTACATAGACAGAACAGTATACCCAGATAATGAATTACACAGACAGAACAATATACCCAGATAATGAATTACATAGACAGAACAGTATACCCAGATAATGAATTACATAGACAGAACAGTATACCCAGATAATGAATTACATAAACAGAACAGTATACCCAGATAATGAATAACACAGAACAGTATACCCAGATAATGAATTACACAGACAGAACAGTATACCCAGATAATAAATTACACAGATGGAACAGTATACCCAGACAATGAATTACACAGACAGAACAGTATACCCAGATAATGAATTACATAGACAGAACAGTATACCCAGATAATGAATTACATAGGACAGTATACCCAGATAATGGATTACATAGACAGAACAGTATACCCAGATAATGAATTACAACAGTATACCCAGATAATGAATTACATAGAACAGTATACCCAGATAATGAATTACATAGACAGAACAGTATACCCAGATAATGAATTACATAGAACAGTATACCCAGATAATGAATTACATAGAACAGTATACCCAGATAATGAATTACATAGAACAGTATACCCAGATAATGAATTACATAGACAAACAGTATACCCAGATAATGAATTACACAGACAGAACAGTTTACCCAGATTATGAATTACACAGACAGAACAGTATACCCAGATTATGAATTACATAGACAGAACAGTATACCCAGATAATGAATAACACAGACAGAACAGTATACCCAGATAATGAATTACACAGACAGAACAGTTTACCCAGATAATGAATTACACAGACAGAACAGTTTACCCAGATTATGAATTACATAGAACAGTATACCCAGACAATGAATTACATAGACAAACAGTATACCCAGATAATGAATAACACAGACAGAACAGTATACCCAGATAATGAATTACACAGACAGAACAGTATACCCAGATAATGAATAACACAGACAGAACAGTATACTCAGATAATGAATTACATAGAACAGTATACCCAGATAATGAATTACATAGACAGAACAGTATACCCAGATAATGAATTACACAGACAGAACAGTATACCCAGATAATGAATTACACAGACAGAACAGTATACCCAGATAATGAATTACACAGACAGAACAGTATACCCAGACAATGAATTACACAAAGACAGTACACTTAGACAATTAATTACACAGATAAGTCAGTACACCCAGACAATGAATTACACAGACAGACCAGTATAGCCAGATTATGAATTACATAGACCAAAATACCAAGACAAGAAATTACAGACATAACAGAATATCCAGAACAATGAATTACACAGAGACAGTAAACTTAGACAATGAATTACACAGATAAGACAGTACATCCAGATAATAAATTACATAGACAGAACAAAATACCAAGACAAGAAATTACAGAGAAAAACAGTATACCCAAAAAATGATTTATGCAAAGACAGTACACTTAGACAATGAACTACACAGATAAGATAGTACATCCAGACAATGAATTACGCAAAGACAGTACACTCAGACAATTAATTACACAGATAAGACTACACTTAGACAATGAATTACACAGATAAGACACTACAACAAGACAATGAATTATGCAGACAGACCAATATTGCCAGATAATTAATTACACAGACACAACGAAATACCAAGACAAGAAATTACAGAGAAAAACAGTATACCCAGAGAATGAATTATGCAAAGACAGTACACTTAGACAATGAACTACACAGATAAACAACATCCAGATAATGAACTAACATATTTGTACTTGTCATTATCTTACCTCCATCAGCACATTTTCTATTGCCACCTGAAGCTGAACAAACCCTGAGAAAAGCTGTTTGTTCCCAGAACACATGTGTGAAGCTCCATACTTATTATCGTCATCACTGCACCCGGCTAAAATTTATAACATGCCTTTGACAATATACTTCGTTTATATATTACTGCAAACTAACTATTTCAACATACATTGATCAGGGATTCTCTACAACAGTGGTTTTTTAATTTTCTGAGTCCACGGTTCTTCTAGCTGACTGTGTTATTCATGAAGCTACCCTGTGGGATAACTGGTGGGGAAAAACTTATCTTCTGTTATTTTGTTTAACTTTGTTTTATTATGCAGCAGTTAGTTTTGACAGATTTTTGAAAATTTCAATGAAAACAAATGCAACTGGTTAATTTGTAAATAAACTTTTTAAGTGCAGGACCAGGATGTGTAAAATGTGCTTTTAAAACATTTAATAATAGTATTAAATATATATCCATCTATCATGTAGCAGGTCCATTGCAGAACTTCGCTCTCATCACAGTCTGCCTGAAAGAAACTCAGTCTCTCGCCAGTTCTCCCGCCTCATGTACTTTCATCCTCAAGGAGTCACTTATATCCTGTGCCCATCTTCATGTTGGTCGGCCCCAACTGTGTATATATATATATATATATATATATATATATATATATATATATATATATATATATATATATATATATATATATATATATATATATATATATATATATATATATATATATATATATATATATATATACGGGAGATTTAGCTTATTGTTTAAATACGAACAAATCAGAAGTTATTCCCAGAAACATTTCCCTATCTGACCAGCATGATGCCAGAAGCTATGTTATTTTTGTGTATTTTTTTTATTTTTTATAATGGGGATATTTAAGTTTCTTGTTATTCTGCTGATAAAGGCTCACAAGTAGCAACATCTATTCTGCCTCAAGTGAAGCTGACCAGCTGTTCCACTGTTTTGTTAAATATTTTGTTTTTGGAGGACTTACTCACTGTGAGGTTTGTGCAACATCCTGGAGGACTGGCTCACTGTGAGGTTTGTGCAACAACCTGGAGGACTGGCTCACTGTGAGGTTTGTGCAACAACCTGGAGGACTGGCTCACTGTGAGGTTTGTGCAACAACCTGGAGGACTGACTCGCTGTAAGGTTTGTGCAACAACCTGGAGTACTGACTCGCTGTGAACCAATGGAAAATCTTTAGTGCAGAACAGCCTAGCATATGACACCACAACAGCTAGCATATAAATGAAGGTGCAGGCGGTCACTGCAGCAATTTGATGGTTATAGAACGAGACATATACACATGTCATAATTGAAGCAAGTTGAGAAAGGTGAAGAGCAGAGTGGCAAGCTTCACTTGGAAGGTCCCGTGCAGCTAGCATACTTTGGATTTTTTTCTCCAGGCCATGCCGGCGTGATAGGGAATGAACAGTCAGACAGACTGGCTGGAACTGCACCATTTGGATAGTGAATTTAAACATGAGGAGGCAGATGTGGTCAGGGCCCTAATGGGGAAACCTGAATGCTGTGATGTCAATTCTTGACTCAACTCAACTAATGAATGCAGTTTTCCCAAAATCTGCCCTGCTTGAGGTTGACAGTTCAGGACCAACAAAGTCCTCTTCTTTATCAGTTAAGTAGCTGAAAATTATTTTGGCACTTTGGGAACTGGTAACTCATTTTCATGTGGTACCAGATGTACTACAGAGGGGATGTTTGAATATTCCAGAGGTTATCTTTTCTTCTTTTATATGCCTTTCCCAAGTGGAGGGACCATACACAAGTAACAGTTGTTGAGACATCTCTCAAAATCCCTGGGACTGCAAAAGGCAAGCTAGTACAACCATGGTTTTTAAGATGTGCTGCACATGTATTGTAGCAGATGCATGGTGCCCAGCTCTTATCATAATCTTCTATTCTGCAGCAAAAACACAAACTGCATGTCTTCTTATGCAGCAAAAACACAAACTGCATGTCTTCTTATGCAGCAAAAACACAAACTGCATGTCTTCTTATGCAGCAAAAACACAAACTGCATGTCTTCTTATGCAGCAAAAACACAAACTGCATGTCTTCTTATGCAGCAAAAACACAAACTGCATGTCTTCTTATGCAGCAAAAACACAAACTGCATGTCTTCTTATGCAGCAAAAACACAAACTGCATGTCTTCTTATGCAGCGAAAACACAAACTGCATGTCTTCTTATGCAGCGAAAACACAAACTGCATGTCTTCTTATGCTGGAAAACACAAACTGTATGTCTTCTTATGCTGGAAAACACAAACTCATATCTTCTTATGCAGCAAAAACACAAACTGCATGTCTTCTTATGCAGCAAAAACACAAACTGCATGTCTTCTTATGCTGGAAAACACAAACTCATATCTTCTTATGCAGCAAAAACACAAACTGCATGTCTTCTTATGCTGGAAAACACAAACTCATATCTTCTTATGCAGCAAAAACACAAACTCATTTCTTCTTATGCTGGAAAACACAAACTCATTTCTTCTTATGCAGCGAAAACACAAACTGCATGTCTTCTTATGCTGGAAAACACAAACTCATATCTTCTTATGCAGCAAAAACACAAACTGCATGTCTTCTTATGCAGCAAAAACACAAACTGTATGTCTTCTTATGCAGCAAAAACACAAACTGCATGTCTTCTTATGCAGCGAAAACACAAACTGCATGTCTTCTTATGCAGCGAAAACACAAACTGCATATCTTCTTTATCGCTTTAATTATATTTTGTTTTTCTGATAGAAATGTCCTCTCACCATATATATGACATAAATTATTATATGGCAGCATTTTATCATATACCTATAAACATAGGTTGTGTACTCATAAACAGGATTGTATCGTCAACTTCCAGTTAGATGTTTATTGGTCGTCAGGAAAAATATGCAGCTGCCCAAACAGTTGCATCATAAATATAAACGGACCATAATTAGATAAATTAGTAGCATATATCTTGAAAACAAGAGCCAATCAATATTTAAAAATTTTTATTTCGGTATTTAGCACACCAAAATTAGTTAAGAACAGCTATTTTCATTTCTGGTACATTCTGGTGTTGTTTACTAGTGTAGCTGTGGTCATATTGCAATACAGACAAACCATCTTGGCAAAAGCATGGGTTTGGATGATGGTAATGCTGATGTGGCTGAGTTGGGATCACATAATTGAGCTCACCATGGAAGAACTGGAACACCTTCAGAAGGAGAATAAAATGAACTAGCGCCTGAAATTTCTTGGGAACAGAGGAAGGAAGGAATGATGTTCCTTGTTCTCTGATCAACAAAATATTATGTGGGGGAAATGCGGTGAGGAAAATTCTTTTAATGCAAGATTCCACCTTGACAAAGCTGGGGCAAACCACACCACTAATATGCAGCAACACTGCACACGGACAGATTTTTAAATGCACATAAGACTGGGCATGTTTTAGTGAGACCTAGGCCCAGTCAGTGTCTGAGTTTTGTTGACACTTCTATAAATAAAGTAAGTAAAGATCCCTTTTCACGCCTTAGGCGCATCGAGAAGAGCACCCAGATTCTTTCAGACCAGTCGGCACTGGGTGGGTAATGTGGTCAGCATTACACCGGCTGCTTGACACTTCTATGGTGACGTCCAAAGATGCACACAGAAAAAAAAAAGATTAACTCATAATAAAAACTTACCTGGAAAAGGAGTATTATTCAAAAGCTCTTCAAAATTATCCGTTCGGATGACATAGGTATACGGGTCATCATTAAAGTTGAAAATGATCCCAGCTGCAACTTTCCTTTTGTCCTTCTGGTATTCTGCCTCTGCATCTTCTTTTGTTGCAAACAGCTTGTATTCGAGTGATCCAGACAACTGAGCTACCACATTTTCAATATTTGATTTTGCCTGTGAGATAAAAAGTATGCATACGATTTCATCTGAAGGATAAAGTATGCATATGAAGTCATTTGTTGGATTTGGTAAGCAAGTGTTAAATGTTGACTCAATCTGCATATAATCCGTCTGGCACGGTTCACAGTCAATGTAATTTGTTGGACAAGGTCACTTTAACCTTATTGATATTGCATGTATATAATGTCATCTGTTTTATTTTGTATGCAAATTATTTAATCTGTCAGACAGTATCATTTTAATCTGTTGAATACTGTACAAGAGGTTACAAGAGGATGTACAGAAGCTAGAAAGAGTCAGAAAATGAAAAGCAGGGGAGTTCAACTGGTCTGCAGCAGATGCAAAAAAAAAAAAGACAACATTTTTTAAGCGAAACTGGAGAGGACAAATCACTGGGTATGGTTCTGGAAACTTGATTGACAGATGCAAAGAAAGGATTGGCCTATCACAAGAGGCATTATATACACTGATTGTGGTATGTCAGTGACAACAGACAATGAGAAAGAGGAAGCTTTTTTTAGAATAATCAGAATGATAGGGAACAGAAATTTAGTTAGAGATAATCTGTTTATTACTAAAATGATAATTATTTTCAGGATATCATTAGGGTGGATAATATATAATAAATATTGCAAACAACAAAAGCACCATGAAACAGCCGCCTTTTCAGAGCTGATGAGAGCACCATCTCTGATATATGTATATATGTATATATATATACACACACACACACGCACGCACCCACCCACACACATACATACCTACATATTTACATACATACATACATAGACACCTACAAACATACATGAATACCTACATACATACAAAAATACCTACATACATACAAAAATACCTACCCACCCACCGGCACGCATGCACGCATGCATGCACGCACGCACACACACATACATACATACATACACACACACATACCTACATACACACATGCACACGTGTATGGAGGTAGCACACACACACACACACTCACACACACAATCAGAAAGTTACTGGTGCCATCAGAATTTAGAACTTTTCACTTGCTGCTGAGAATATGTGAGTGTTGTGAGTGCTATAGTGTGGATTCAAATTTCAACATCTGTCAGATAATGTATGGATATATCTCTGTGGGGAATCTTGGCATGTTATCAAAACAAGGTATGAGGGCTCAGTGTGAAGTGTGCACAAATGGTGGTTTCAATGATTTCTTTGCAGCCAGAACTGGAAGGAAACAGAGACGTATTTGCTCTCCCCTGTTATTCAGTGCAACTACTGACTGAGTGATGGGAAAGATTTTATGCAACACTGAATGGTTGGAGAAAACACATTTGGAAGATCTTGATTTGGCATACGATATTGTTATGTTAAGTAAGAAAAGTAATGACATGTCTAAAAATACTGACGAATGAACAAACTTTGCATCACAAGTAAGACTACAAATCAGTTTTAAAAAGCAAAACATATCAAAGACACCAACAGTGGATCTATAGGATTTCATCTACGGATCAAAACCAATTAATCAGTTTACCTATTTTGGTTGCCAGAAAAAGAAAGAAAGAAGTAAGAAGAATCCCCTTGTACAATCTTTACGGGGAGATTAAGTGATGTGTGCAAGGAGTCTGCATTCAATCAAACAGTTCTTTTACAAACCAAACAGTCCTACCTGCGGAGAATCTGGCACCACTAGCAATGTCCGATAGCCACTGAATGGTGATGCAAAAACATCGTCATTGAGACTGTGTTTTGGAAACTTCCTGGCTGGATGTGTTTCTGGTTTCATCGCCAAATTAAGCAATGCAAGAGAACCAACATAATATACAGGAATCAGCAACTCCTGATAATAAATATACCAAAAATAAATCATTCAGAGTTGATGTTTCTTGAATGTAAAAAAAAACCAAAACAATTATGCTATAAGGCAGTTCTTCTTCTTCTGCGTTCGACATCAGTCATGCTTAACATTGAGTCCCGTCTGTGTCACAAATAGGATTGTGCGTTTAAGGTCGCCACCGGTCCTCCATAGCTTCTCTTGCAATGTGGCTCCCTTGGGCCAGATCCACAGTCTTTGCTGTGAGAAGTTAGGGCAGTACTGCAGTATGTGCTCAGGGGTCTGTCTTTCTGCTCCACAATCACATGCAGCAGATTCTTTTATGCCTATCTTGTACAAGTGTGCTTGAAGACCACAGTGTCCAGTCTGAAGTCTAAAAATTGATGTTTGTTCTTTCCTGTTGAGTTTGTTTATGCTGTCACTCTCTGGTCTGTAATCTCCATTCTGCCTTCTCCACTCCCGTTTGAAAGACTGCTTTAGTGCTATTTTGGTTTCCTTATAGCTGTGTGGTGGACGAGGTTGTGGAGGATTACTCCCAGCTTTTGCCAACTCATCTGCTCTCTCATTTCCTTGAAGACCACAGTGGGCTGGTATCCACTGCAAGACCAGATCTGCTTCCTTGGAGAGTAAGCCAATGTTGGTCCTTAGATCTGCAATTAGTTGGTCTTGTTTTTTTTCTTTTCTTGTTAGTGCATGGAGAACAGACAATGAGTCATTATGTATACCAATTTTGTGCCCTCTGTGTTCTCGAGTGATGAGATGCTGGACTGCAGAAAGGAGGGCAGTTGCCTCAGCTCTGAAGTTAGTGCAGATGTCACCTGCTGGTAGAGATAGAGTTTCTGCTCTGCTGCTAGGGGATTTAATGTATATTCCACAACCCCCCTTTCTGACTGCATCTATAGCAGAGCCGTCAGTGAAGACCTGAGTCCAATTGGTGTTGGGATACTTCTCATCAAGCATAGCAAGAGCCAGGGTTCTCTGTTATGTCTCCGTCTGGGCATCTTTTGAAGTGATCCCTGGTACCTTTAGAACTACATTTGCTTTCTCTGGCTTGCTTGTCCATGGTTCTGGCCTAAGTTTTTCGCACAGTGCAACATCTCTTTCAAGCAGATCTTGGTGCTGTCTGTACAGTTCTCTAGCAAGGTGGTTGGAGCTCTGACGCTTCAGTCTGTTTTTTGTTCTCTCTTGAAATTTAAAATGTAGTGGGTGACTTTAATTTCTCATACTGTAAAAGAGTTTTGTTTTTTCTTCTGAGTTTGAGTGGTTCAGTATCTGCTATCCTTTCTATCTCTCTGATGGGGGTGGTTTTCATGACTCCGAGAACAATCCTTAATCCCATATTCTGAACCTTGTCCAGTTTTCCCATTGTTGACTCTAAGGCAGTGATTCCCAAACTGTGCGCTGCGGCACCCTGGTGAGCCACGACCTCTTCACAGGGATGCCGCGAAATATTCGAAGATACATAAGTTTTATTTGTGTTGATCTCATACATACGAAAAGTCGTACTTTTACTTAGGTTAGAGCGCAATGGAAACATTTTAATAAAAAAAAGGCGCAGTGACTAAGAAAGGTTTGGGAAACACTGCTCTAAGGCATTATAAAGAATGACTACCACAACAGACTATTTTTTCATAAATAAGCAATATGTCATCATCATCATGTAGCAGGTCTTTAACAGAAGACTGCTCTCATCAAATCATGCAAGAAATCTTCTTAGTTCCCCTGTTAGCTTTCCCGCATCTTGAACTTTAATATCCAGGGTGTCCACCATCATGCTGGTTATCCATTGTCCCTTCTTCCAGCAACCGTACCTTTCACTGCTGTTTTCTCCAAAGCATCGTGACATTTAATATGGCCAAAGTATTTCAGAAATGATACAATTTATGACTCGGCCTAAATATATATTCAGATTGTTAAGAATATCAGTAATTGTCTTATCTGAGTCCAGGATACTCTGATACCCAAAACACCAGTTTTCTTCTTTAGTAATTTTGAAATAGTCCATGTCCCACATGCATATGTTGGCAAAGGAAGTAAAAGGTTTTTGGGAGGACAAGTAGATAAGTAGAGGACAGGGAGGAACATTTATACGGGATCCTAAAAGCCTCAGGCTCACCACCCCCTTGTCTACACCGCCCTAAAAGTGGTAAATACAGACAGCAGTGACAAAGACAGTTATACTGCAGTGGGGACAAGTCACAACTGTATGCATCTACTCACAATATCACTTCATAATTTTGGTAATGGTATGTTTCATTGTTCTGAGTTTGTAACACAGATTTCATTCATCGTGGTCCCGGGCTTTCCAGTCAGTTATCTGATCTTACTAGCCTTGACAGCATTTGTTTTTCTCTCTTATAGCCAACATATTCATTTCAAAGGTGTTAGGAACAATGCTTTAAGACTTCCCTTTTCACACTGCTGTTCTTACACTTGCAGCCACAGCTAATTCAAAACAACAGGTTATCTATATTGGGGTCCCCCCCCCCCCTCCTCCCCATCTTTACCGAGTCTTATTTTTTTTATATTGTGAAAAGAAAAAGTACAAAGAACTGTAACAACTGGAAAGAGTGAAGGTGTTAGATACACAGAGGGAAAAATAATTATCAAGTAATAAACAAATGAAGCCCAAGGAAACTCAAATTTTCCACACTTCTGAGTTTGTATGTCCCATCTCACACACATCAAATTCCAATAATTTATTAATTTGATAATTTGCTAATTTAATAAGTGGCTATTGTTGGTAAATAAAGTAGCAGTTAATGAAATAAAAACTTGCTGAATTGATCAGCCAATATAATTACTAATAAATATGTGAAGCTCAATTAATTATGTGCAAATTTGTTGAATTGCCCAGTTGATGAGCAAAACAAAGATAAAGTTAAATTACTGAGAACTATTACTCTAATTACAGACATTACCATGCATGACTGAGTGCCAGTCAGGCAAAAAGAAAACATTTAAGACATCTACTGTAAAGTGTCGGTGTCTGTGGCTTAGGCTTCGTAATGCCAAGGTGCCAGTTTCGATTCCAACTGCGGACCTTACTCCTTGGTATGGAGAAGCAAACTGTTCAGAAAGCAATTTCAAACTACTGGACGTAAACTTGCTTAGAAAAACCACAACAGCCCAAAACATTGTTGGGGTTGGTTCTGCAACTTCTTGTGAAGGATATGCAAATAACTTATTATTATTAACTGTTAAGTAAAGGTCTTTTTACAGGCCAGTGGTGCAGTGGGCACATGAAGCTTGACTCATATTTTTACAGACTCCTGACAGATGATGTGGTCAATATCATGTTGGCTTCTTTTACTTTCCAGGACCTTACCTGGTATTCATTTAAGGTTGGGTCAACCAGGGGGCCAGACTCATGTTTTTTTTTTAAATCAGGCACCACACAAATCTGAACACATGACCTTCAGAATGCAGTGTGCATATAGCCACTACACCATGATGGCCGCCTACATTTACTAAGATTGCTCAGTGATTGAGTCACACACAAATACAGATCAGAAATAAACTGTTTGACTTGTTTAGTTAATGACAGACACAACCTTGTATAATTACCCTGCCAGTGAGTCACATACAAACCTGAAGCTCACCTAATGAAACACAACCTTACTGAACTGATCAAGCCGCAAACTATAATTACCTGAAAAATCTGGCTCTTGTTTCGTTTCTTCAGCAAAATGTTTCTCTGTACCAGGGCCATCAGCTGCTGCCCGAAACTTGCCATGATGACAGTGTTACTTTAGATTCTCTGTGGATAAACCTTCAGGAAGACAGGAAAATAACCCATGCATTAATAACAATATGGGATACTGTTCAGGTACTGGGTTCTCCTTAGCAGAGTGGATCGGGCAATAGCTTACCAACATATTAATCTAGGTTTAATATTGAGATGAAAAGAGACATAAGTCAACCTAGTTTCCCTAAATGTATCCCTCGACTTTTTATTGAAAGGCAGTTAGTGAAGCAGGGAGATGGTCACCTCAGTTCATTATGTATAAATCTTATACCTCACTGTTAAAGTTGTATTTTCTAGAGAATCATCTAGCCCTCTCCAGTTCATGTTAATTCAGATCAGCAGAAGTAGAAACTACTTCTTACAAATAGGTACTAAATTTCATTAGAAAGAAATCGATTGTTATCTAAGTCGTCCCTTTGTGGGATGCAATTTTTCATTATTTGAAGCCCCACCCTGGCTTTTGCCGGGGGTCCTAAATATAGCTGGGCCACAATTGTAGCCATAACATAACAGCTGAAAAGGGTTTCTGGGACCTTTCCACGGGTGAACCTCATCCACATGGTGGCACTTTGTCACCGGGTGTTTTTCTCTTGTGTGCTGTCCTGGTGGGCTAGAACAAGCAAGCAAGAAAGAAAAGAAAGTTGAAAGGAAATGGTCACACCATCTTGTTATAAAGTACCCTAGCATAAATAAAGGTCTAACACATGGCAGCATGTTTCATGAAGTTTACAAGGCTGGCCATGAGTCAAGTAGAAGCGGAGACTCAAGTAGAAAGAGAGGAGCAAACACTCTCTCCTGATGGAGGCTGTCCAGTAGTTTTTGTTCAACAAATTTTTTTTTATTTAAAGGGGGGAAACTGAAAGTGACAGGATCAACTTGCACTGAGCTCTGTTCCATCTGAATCTGTCTCTCTGAAAAGCATCTGCTGAGAGCATTAAATAAATTATTAACTCTGAAACACAATGTTGCACTCATAAACAGTCTTAAAATGCATATCTATGCAGCAGAAGGTAAAAAGTCTGACCACTTCACTGTGGAGACTTTCTGTTTTTACTCTTTAATGACTAAGAAACGTGTCTTTACTAATTAATGAATGAGAAATGAGCAGAATGTGAAACAGAAAACACCCAAATCACAAACAATATGAAAAATGACAAAAGAAAAAGAGGCAGATTAAAAAAAAAACATCACAATGGTTAGAGCGACTCTATTCAAATTTCTATCCTAGATATATTGTAACAGACGATGGCAGAGACAAAAAGATACAAAATTATTCATGTTTAATTAAGAATCGACATCACAGCACTCGGGACATTCCCATAAGCGCTCCATCTCCATCTTCAGCAGCAAGCGCAGAGCTCTAATTCCAGTGGTACCAATAGCTATCTGATATTACATCCATCTCGCCCTTTCCCCAACCAAATCCCCTGGTCATTCCTCGCAACACCATTCTCTTCAGATCATGATGATCCATCTGTGCTTCTGCTCTGTTTACTCACCTACAAAGGGCCTTTACAACATCTAGTTTTTCATAAACCATTTCACCACCACATTGTGCAGAACCAGCCAGTCTATCTGCCTGTTTATTTCCTAATATACCGACATCTCCTGGGGACAGTATCCAGACGATGCTAACTACCCGGGATCTCTGAAGCGATGCTTGCTACTCTTCACGGACCATACCTGTCTCCACATTTATCATCATGCTCTGTGAGTCGGTTACAGTTACAACATGTCTGTATAGTTGATTCTCAAGCAAGCAAAAAGGCTGCAGTGACTGCCTCCACCTCCATTCTAAAACTAGATGTTATGGTGTCATATGTCAGGCTTTGTTGCACTAAGCAATGTCTAATCAATTTTGATTAGAACCCCCATGAGCTTTGTCTGCCTCTCAACACAGAGCCACCTGTATAGATTATCACATCACCTTGGCGAGAATTGTCATGAATCATTTGTCAAACTTCTGATTCTGCAGCACCCACTGGTAAGTCCCTTCACACACGACTCAGTGTGATTAGAACCCTACACAAGTCAGACTTTTGCTGGGACATTCTGACCCACTCTTTTCCTCAACCAATGTTATCAAGCCTATATATGTCTAATTGTGTCTTCAGCTTGCGCTATCCAAGACTTTCCTTTTTTTCATCTGTAACCCTTGGCTCTGTCTATTTAGACCTCTAGGGCTTTATGTAGGAGGTGTTTCTTATCTACAGCTTCTTTGAGATATGACTTAGCTTGCAGCACTTTGAGTCTATCTGTAATAGTCTGCAGTGGAAGTATATATCGCATATATACTACCTGGGTATCTCTTGTACATCCTAGAATTACCCCTATGGCTTCATTCCATATGCGTTCAAGTTTCAACAGCTAATACTTTGATATGGTAAGCATTACAAGTCTAATCTATCACCTACAGGATTACAAGGGATCAAATTTCTAACCAAGGGACTTATGACCTGAGTGCAACTCCTTATAGGGTTAGATCCAGCTATCAAGCGGAAACAGCTGGTGTACTCCACTGCCTGAGAGATACAATATCTACAGCCCTGGATGCCCATACCCTTCAGTGTATTCCGTTGTATATAGTGCGTTAATGTCATTGCTAGGGCATGAGGTATTCGTCGGTCACAAACGAACCTAACATGGCAACAGTGTTACATTGCTCTATAGGGAGACAAGACCATCATATCCCACTCCCATAGCGAGCATAACCATGGAGAACAGTCTATGTCAAGAAGCGTTCTCCATAAACTGTACATATTATGTTCTTGTTGTACTGTATGCATTTGACGTTCTTCCCTGTCAAGCACTTTGAGCCCCAGAAATCTATTTGGTTTCAATCACATTCTTAATTTTGCTCCATTCATGGAACACTATTCACGAACTCCAGAACCACAGTTCCATATTAATACGTGTACCTTTTTTACTTGCACCTTTTAAATCCTCAGCATCAAATAAGAATGGCTAAAACTAATTTCAGTAGGATGTTAAAAATATTGACAGCCAGAGAGATACACACCAAAAATGAGAATCATCAAATGAAATGTACACCCAACCCCGCAGTATGGCTGTGACGAAACGACCTCAGTGTTTTCAGAAGTTAGCCCTGACAAAGCAGCCAGGCTTTGTTTAATATTATATAACATTCGGATTACCTAATATAGCCTGCTGGTCTACATGGGAAAGTTCAGACATAGTGGCTATAGGGTTTGATTGTAGAACTGAAGTGTCATATAATTATCTCCTGACCAGAGAACCTTAGGGGCAGGTAATTGCACATAAACAAATTATCCCCCCCCCCCCCCGAGCCCCGAGATTATCTTCCTTGAACTGCAGACCACAGAGAGTCATAAAGTGTTTACATAACCAGCCAAATTAGGCCCTTTCAACAGATAAGATAAGGGGAATTAACCTGGTCAAGTAGGAAAGTCCAGACATGGCGGCGTCCCCTGGACCATCTTTTCACACCTGTCAGTGAGACTGGCTGGAAACTAGATTGGGTCACTTAAGAATGTTTGCTCAGAGTGGTGGCCGTCAAGAATTGACTGACAGGCACCTTGATAGCTAATTTGATCTGCAAGGTACTTCTGGGGTGTGACTTAGATCTTCTCCCGTATGACAGGTTAAATACTAGAAAGGGGAGGAGTTAACTTTGCTAGTATACTGTTAGCATCTTAAATTTACCTCATAGTGCTGCCAGCAAGCCACAAACTCAGATCAACATAGAAAGTAATTCTAGCTGGTTGAGTCTTGTTTGGCAATTGCTGGAGTACTCCTAGGTATGATTGTATATTATTTTCAATCTTTTATTCATAGGCTAGGAGCTAGCTCAGACTACTATTCCTTTCCTGATGTATCTAATTTAATATTTTGCTTAAAATTGTTCTTTGTGAGTATTCAGTTATCTTAGGGAACTGCTCAACCATTCCTATTTCTTGTATGTTTGTATCACATGTTTTTCAGTGTATGTTTTCATGTGCATAAAAATAAGATGTGAGCAATGACATTTGCTATAATAAAATGTAATTATATTGTTTCACTTATCAACCCAAAACATGTGCCTGGACTGTGGGAAAATCATGCCCACATGTGTAGCCATGTGGTTGCGTTTTGATAGCTCACCATGTGCTCACTGTTACTGGACAGCACACAACCTGCTCTACGTGTTCATGTAAAAACAATGTTAGCCAGTTTCGAAGTCTGAGTGAAGAAGGACAGCAGACTTAAGAAGTCAACTATCATGACAGAACATGAGGGGGAAAGCAGGATATGTTAGACGTCAGTGTGACACATAAGACCTTCAAGACTAGACTGGAGAGAATGTGGAAGATGAGGAGGAGAGATGTTATGTGTGTGTGTGTGTGTGCGTGTATATATATATATATATATATATATATATATATATATATATATATATATATATATATATATTCTATTGTATTGGTATATGCATGCTTAGTGTAAGTATAGATACTACACATATATGTTTGTTTCACTGCTCCCGTCGGGGTGAAGACCAGTCTGCTCTGATAGAACTAGAGGGTCTCATGCATGAACCTAAGTTCTGGGAGATCGGCAATCTGGGAGCAGGCGGAGAACAAGCTGGAACAGGCAGAGAAGGATGTGGAACCAGTTGGGAAGAAGCTGTAAGAAGTGGAAAAGCTTGACAGTGCCTCACGGCTGTCAGAGGTTTTATCAAAGTTACGTTCACACATTGTTTGTAAACTTATCACCATCATCACACCACTCTAATCCCAGATGCTCAGTTTTCTAGCTGAAGCATCTCATCACTATCATACCATTAGCCAGTCACTGTTTGTGTAAACATTACAAACTGGTGAATTTTATTTAAACGATTGTTATCTAAATAAAGCTGTATGTCAAGTTTTCTACAACATCGTTTATTAAATTTCAAGTGTATTCAGTCTTACCTGTTTAACTAAACAATTAGATAAAATTACATTTGGTGGGAGCTCATTAACAAATTA